AAGTGCTTCACAGTTTCATAAGATTGAGTTTAACAAAATGGATGTCACATAAAATACAGTTAACAAGAACATTGATATCACATATGATATGAACGGGTTAAAAGACATACAAATATACATAACATTTGCATAGAATAGACATTGAGTAAAAAATAGATTCAAAATTCAGGATAATAAAAGAAAAGAAGTAGCTATCTAAGAGCCACAAGGCCCTTGAGGCAAAATAGGCAATGATGAAGGTTTAACAATTCATTTGATGTAGACAGTTGTACTTAAGTGTTGTGTATCAAAGAAACATATATTTGTGGCAAGTTTATTTAAGAATAGGAAGTGAACATATCATATCAGTGCCCCTAAAAATACTATCTAATTGTATAGGACATAAGGTGTGTGAGTGGCTTAGGAAAAACAGTCTATGCTTGGCATCCATTATTATTAATTGTATGTTAGTTTCAGCTCATTGAACATAGTCCTGATTTTTTCTGAGTGACTACATGGGGTGTCCTGCTATCACCCTGGAGTGAGATGGATCTATGATACTGGACAGTTTTTGTTTTGTTCTCATCTAAAAACAGGGATGATAGCTCATACAATAGAGATTTCAAAGGTCTTTTATTTTGAAACTCTACATCAGAATGTCCTGATTTTTTCTGAGTGACTACATGGGGTGTCCTGCTATCACCCTGGAGTAAGATGGATCTATGATACTGGACAGTTTTTGTTTTATTCTCATCTAAAAACAGGGATGATAGCTCATACAATAGAGATTTCAAAGGTCTTTTATTTTGAAACTCTACATCAGAATGTCCTGATTTTTTCTGAGTGACTACATGGGGTGTCCTTCTATCACCCTGGAGTGAGATTGATCTATGATACTGGACAGTTTTTGTTTTATTCTCATCTAAACACAGAGGGATGATTCTTTTTGACTCTACCGTAATGCATAGGATATTCGCGCACCGCAATATCACGTGAGGGCTGGCTTGACTAGGTTTTCCCGAGTGGAGGCTGGCTTGACCGCAGTGTTAAATGCTTACTTAAAATGCTGCTGACTAAATCTGATATGAATCAGAGAAACTGTAGCCAACAGGAATGAGGTTGAACTGGTTTAACAGGAGCCTCAGAAACACATCCATCATTCCAGTGAAGATAGGGCGGGGCTTAATTATTTTAAAACAAGTCAGATCTTGTTGTCACTGCACAACCTATACTATGAGAGTATGAGGAAGCATTGTCTTCTCTAGAAATCTGACATTGAAACATCTTTCTTCTCTGGATCATTACCAAAACTGAGATTTGTGGTAAGCGGTTAAACTCGTAGGATTTTTGTTTCGACGCTGTTTTTGTTCTGCAAGCCGGCGAATTCACGAGAAAAACGACTTGAGACTGGTGTTTTCTGGTGCTAGGTGTAGCATGCGTTTTCAATGAAAGTGTGTGTTTGCAAGTGGTTAATTTCTTTGAGTATTCTTTATTTCGTGTTGCTTTACATGCGTTAGAAGAACAGTAAGGTAAGGGTACTGAGAATCTCACATTCTTCTAGCTAAAGACTACACTATGACATATACACCTATGTTTTTTATGACATGCTTTTGACTTTTTCAAGACATACTTAGTCATAGTATATGTAATAACAAATGGCAAAGTATATGGCATTAGTGTTATTGAACAGGTCATGATCAAACTCATAAAAGTACTAATATAGAAAGTCATATCAAACCCGTTTTTTTATGACAAACTATGTATGACTCTTTTTTAGTGACATTCTATAATATAGTTTTCTAATGGCTTACTACACCTAGACTTTTGTATGGGCTTCAATTCCATACTTTTTTAGGACATTTCTTACGACATGGTACGAGTGTTTAATAAAGAAGTCCTTAATCTATAACTGTCAATATTTTTTCCAGCTGAGAGATGTTTGCCTCAGCCACCAGAAACTTTGTGGAGGAGGTGGATCCTGGAGGTTTGCTGATCCCAGTGTCCAGCCTGAACGACACCATTGACCTCCTGACGGTGGTGGTGAAGCATAAGCGTTTCTGGTTCTGGCAGAAACCAAAGTATAAACTTTCTGATTTTAATTTAAACGATATACTAACAGGAGACACACCTATAAAACCTGGTAAACAGCATCCCTCTTACTTGATTCATAATTGTTTAAATGATCACAGAACACCTAAATGTTTCACTGTTCACACAGGTGTCACTGTGTCAGACTTCATCACATACATTGGGACATACGGTGACAACTTTCAGGGTTGCATAGGACTATCAGCAAACTCAGCCAATACCAATGCCAATTTGAACCTGGAGGGTAAAGAGTCATCCAAACTCCAGTCCTCCTTTGGAAGTTTAAAGAAGGAGGAAGTGGATGTGAAGAAACTGCTGTGTGACTCCAAAACCAGGTACATTTCCCCCCATCTGTTTCTACTGTCCTCTCTTATAGAGTTAAATGGGTTTGAAAGAAAAACACTGTAAATATGACATCTGACATGCAGTGTGTTAAAGATCTGGGAGCAGGAATGAACTTTGTACTACCATAAAGTTGAATGCAACAGCTGTTTCAGTTCAAGATTAACACCAGATTTCAGTGTTTGTTTAGGATAAGTAGGTATTTTATCAGTTTCCCAGTACAAAGAACTTTTCCCTGTAAAATATTACAGTATTATAATTTTTTTAATTCAACGTTTCAGGGTCCTGGATATGTCCCATTCCCTGATCCAGCAGGTGAAGGAGAAGCAGAGGCGGGTGTTTGGGATTGTGAAGGAGCGGATTGTGACCACTCAGCCCTGTTCGGTCATAGAGGAGGTGCAGCAGGGAGCTCAGTGTGCAGGAGGACTGAGCATCTGTGGTCCGCAGAGCTTAAAGGTACACTCATAAACTCATTCCTATGATAGTGATTGCACAAATCATTCTCTAACTGTTTTATAATTAACATGATATTCCAGCAACGTGTGTTTTTTTTTTTCAGAAATAAGTCATGCCTGTTTGTACTGTTTGCACAATGTTTATCTTTATTGTGCCAACATTCTATGGTACAACACCCTCAGTTAATGACAGCCTACTTTTGCGTTGGAATTCTTCATAATCATGTAATGGGGAAGAGAAATAGTTTTTCTAGTTAAGAGGAACAGAAATGTTTGCCCTTCACACTGGAAATTCTCTGTTGGTGGAAATTTGATTTTCTCTTCCTCTTTTATCATTTGGTTCTTCTTACTGTTTCTAAAAACGGAAAGGAAGAAAAAGCCTTGTCTCTTTGATTGAGAGAGACACATCAAAGCATTCAATGTTTATGTCCTAGATTGATGAAAATGTATCTGATATAAAATGTAATTGTAGCAGAATTCTTATTTCCACATCTTTTGGTATTAAACACCCCAGAAAATATCCCTTGCATCACCAGAAACAATTATTTCTTGTTTTAGAGTGGATATTTCCTTAAAGTAGTATGAGTTTTGTTAAAATGTTATGCGTTTGGACTCTGCAGGTGTCGTTGAAAGAGAATGGGAGCTTGAGTAAAGACAGTAACATCAGCATGGAGATTCCCATCCATACTACCATCGCCTATGCTCTCATAGAGCTGGAAATCAAACAGAATGGACGTTATGGTGAGCAATAATTCACACACATCTGAATAAACTCTTATCATTATTACATTGGGTTGTTTAAAATGTAACATGTTGTATTTTCCCCAGGGCTGTGTCTGATGTCAGACACCAATGGGGGTTTTGAAGCCGATGGCCCTGGAGACTCTTATTCTACCCACCTTAGACAAGGTAAATTGCTGTTTTCTTCTCTGCAGCCATAACACATGTGAAAAAGATGATTGTTGCAGCAGATGACGTGTTCAAAAATGCATGTTGCTATGAAGTCACAAAGGGCCTCCGGAGATTGAAAGCTTCCTGTCTGATGGTTATGGTGCTGTAACTGTTTAGCATGTGCTTTGACCTGTGTATTAAATGCTCTCTGTGGATGTTTTTGCTTTACATTTCTTAATCCAATGTCCACTTTGTTTTGTTTTCAGAGCTGGAGGAACTGAGTGAACATTTCCAGGTGCTTTCTAATCTTCCTGCCACCACAAGGTCAACTCTGTTCCTCCAAATCACAAAGGTTATGAGTGACCCAGGGGCCTTCAGTGTACTGCAGGATGTGGTAGGTGGGGACAGAGAGGTTATATGGAGTAGCTAGCATTAGCAACTTCTGTTACATTGTTTCATTTTTTTAAATCTGATTGTCTTCTGGTGTCTCAGCTGGACAAGATGTGCCAGGATGAGAAACCTGCTGTGGGTGATATAACAGCGACAGAGGCCCAGAAACAGAAGATCCAAGCCATTCTGGAGCTTTTGGAGCAGGATGGTGAAGAGTCCCCACAAGTCCTTCCAGCCCTTTACCTTGTCACTTGCGCCATTGATGGTGAGAAAGTTGTGCTCTGTGTAGCCTTCATTACTAAAGAGAAATGTAGCTTGAAGTCCTCAAGCTCTCAAAAAAACGTTCTGTTTTCTATCCTGTAACTCCTGTAACTTGTTCTTTCAGAGCTTACAAATGATTGTCTTGCTTTCTTGGGAATGTGCTGCAGCCTCTCAATGTTACAGTCTCTGGAGCTACTGGTTAGTAAAGCCAGTTTTTACAACTAAGAAAAACACAACATGTTATGGGAGGTTTTTATCTTTTGAATTATGCATCAAATTTATTTAGTTTCCTGTTATCTTTTTGTCACACCTTTTCCAGATTCAGTGTGCATCGGGGAAGGGGGAGTTGCCTCTGAACAGCGCAGGCCTAGCTGCACTGACAGAAGACAACTTTGAAAAGGCTGAACATCTGTTTGCCGCCTCCAATGTGTCCCTGAAGAGAGACGGGGACACAGTGAAGACAGAAATAAAACCCCAGCCAGGACAGCTCCCTCTGGTCCTGTGTATCGCCGTCAGAGGTCTCTTCTCCTTGGCCCGCTGTGATTAACTAAAGTCCTTTATATCCACCGGAAGCTAACACTACACTGGACAGAGGTTAGGGTCATCAAGTAGATCAAGTGTTATTAGTCAGTGTTTTTTCACCTCTTGTTGGTGCTGTAGAACTTCCCATTTAATATAATGTTCTAAATATAACGGTGCCAAAACAGTTAGTCATGTAAAGCTTTAGTTCATCTATGATGACACATCTTCGATTTGACAATCTATTACTTGAGGTCGTGGATTGTCAAAAAAACAAGCATTTTGAAGACATTATCCTGATTGTAGCCTTGATTTTAACATGGAAAAAATAATTAATTACACTTTTAGAATGTTTCATTTTGACAATATTACTTATGACACAAGGGATGGTACCCTACAAGTTGTGCGTTACTAAGTTAGCCCACACTTTCAAACCAAACACTTGTGATTCAGCAATTTGCGTGTTATGTACAGTATAATATTCAGATAGAAACAAAGGGTTTGATGACAGGAACCTGGATGTAGCATCTTATTTGGGGTAATGTCACTTAGGAGGTCAATTCCTAGTATTTTATAGAAGCATTGCCTTTCAGTGTTCTCATCTAACCACGTTTCCTGTATGTTGAATTGCCATTGGCTTGAATATGTTATGCTGGGATCAATATCATGTCCCCGTCCTTGAGGCCGACCAAATCTTGATCTGAAACTTGTTCTCCAAATTCTTATAAGCTTTACATTTTTTATGGAACAGCTTTTCACTTGGTTTCAATGTTCCTTTTTAATTGTGAAGCATTGTTTAAGGTTTTTACAATTTAGAGAAAGATTTATACTTCTTACTTTTTTTATGTCTCTTTATTGTTCGAACATTCAAAACAAGAAATTGTAAAAACTCATCTTGATTTGTTTTTTTTCCTGTACCACATACCAACACATGCTGAACACAATACGTTTGTCAATAACAAAAACCCAAAGCGGATCGTAAGAAAAACACCAGTTATTTATTTGACATTTGAAAATACATTTTTTATGAATTCTTGTAAAATATACCTTTTTTTTAAGTAAATAGGAACTTTATTTAAAACTGTTAAGTTTTAGTAATATCACATCTACAGGGATGGTTCTCTGAGTTGCAGCACCCTGTTCAAGAGTCCTGTGGAAAATGTTTCTTTCAAACAAAGACAGCACCGGTTTAACAGTCAAATATTTACATGATCTAGATATCTGACAATCAAACAACATAATTAATGTAATCTGTTGTGCTACAGTATAAGAGAAATAATTGGTTACACTACATAATTACTTTTCCTTCTGTACAACATCAAACAGTGACTGGCATGACATTTCCATGTATTAGTAACTGCTGAGACTGCAGGGCATAGATGTAGCCTTGAGGAGGAAAAAGGTCTCACAAATATGCCACTATCGACATGAATGAGATGAAGTACTGGAGACATGTGCACTGTAAACTGTAACACTGAGGTATTGTTAGCTCTCCTCATTTTTGCGGAATAAATATTTATGTTACATACAGATGTAAAATTAAAACAGGACATGACAGAAAATTGCATTTGCTTCTAAAAACATCCTGACACAAGGGCCAGTGCTTTCTTACAATCCACATGAATAGAAAGGATTCTTTAAAAGTTTTTGCCAATAAATAAGTACACTTCCTGTGTGTTCTGAGTTGCATAGCATGTAAGAAAGGAATCTGAAAATTCAGATCAAGGTGACTGATGCAGCTTTGAGCGAGACCCATATACACAAAAGTCTGATGTCCAACTCTTTCTCTGTGTGTGCAGTACAGTGTTGAATCCTCCGTCCAATCGGGTGTCGGCCTTTCCTTCCTAGCCTGGCAGCTGGTACAGCCGTGTGTGTCCAATAGGCTGAAGAACATCAGTAGACCCAGCTGACTGGAACCCACTGCGGCTCTATGAATAATCGCTCTACCACCTCCTGCAGTTGGTCAAAGGCCTTGTCCAGATTGTCATTGACAATAGTCAGGTCAAAGTAGTGGCTGTACGCACGACGGATCCTGGCACTCTCGTCCACAGTCTTCTTCAAATCATTCTCCTGTTATGGAGAGAGATACTGCCCATTAGGATGGTGGAAGCAACAATCATTTCATAAGAACCTCGAAAATCTTCATTTTAACTATTTAAGAATCTTAAATTCTCTGAAGACGTACCGTGAGTAGTTTGGTTGTAAGTCCAGCATCTATCACAGCTTTGTGCATAGCTCTTAGTGTGTCCAGTTCTGGAGCAGCGATAAACACCACAAACGGCATGAACTCAGCAGTCTTCAACACTTTCAAAGCCTGGGCAGAAAATATGATGTCACAACCAAAGATTTAGGGGAGAAAAAAAACTACGCGTTGAAGGTTTGTGCCTTTGACTCACCTGAGGGTTGACGTCCAGGATGCAGGTACGGCCTGCATTCACCACTTCATGGATAGAGTCGATCTTGGTGCCATAAAGGTTGGCATCGTACTCGCCATGCTCCAGGTAACGACTCTCTTTGATGTCCTTCTCCATCTGTTCCCGCATCACAAAGCAATAGTTCTGGCCGTCCATTTCCTCTTCCCTCGGACACCGTGATGTGACTGCAGATAAATAGGTGACGAGAGGTGTTTCATGTACCCTGTTAGGAAAATGTTGCTGCAGATATTCAATAACCTCAGCTGTCCGCCTCACACTCACAGGGTACAGTGGTTCCATATCGCAGAGGGTTCATGACAATAAGTCTGTTTTTCAGGCTGCGCCTCCCCACTCCCTGGGCTCCGATCAGAACAAGCGTTTTCCTCTGAAACGGCGGCATCTTGGCCACTTCCTCGTAGATCTGCAGCTCATAACGGTCAAATTCTGTTCAAGGAAATTCACAGGCTGGATGAATACAGTAATGTGCGCTTACAGTTAAAACATGACATATGAAAATTAAATATAGCAGTGCACACCTGCATTCTTCGACGTGAGGTACATCATTTTCTTCTTCTTTTTCTTTGCAGTTCCACAGAGCATCCCTAGGAGAAATGTAAAAAAGCATCAGATCGCCACTTGGTGGTGCTAAAGGCCAGAGTCTCCTGACTTTTCATAACTTAACAAGAAAGCGCAGCAGAGAGCAAGGTGTGAATGAGTTGGCATGTGTGAACATAAACTGACCTGTACCAGAAGTATCCAGGTCTCTTCTTACGAAAGCTTTCCTCTTCTCCTCTAAGAACTGACTAGGGATGAGACCAGTGGCACCACCAACCACTTTGCATGCCTATGTGGGAATAAAAAGTAGTTTAAAGATAGTTTAAACATTTCACAAAGTAAAGAAGAACAATGCCTTCATATCTTTAGCCACAGTCAATTCCTATGTGTATTTTAAACACGGTTACATGTATCGTGAACATAGACAAAAGACAAAGGGACGTCACAGATATCATTTCAGATAATGCCGCATTCATTCAATAAGCAACTAGGGTTTTTCTTTTAGAAATTCAATCACATTTCTAACTAGCTGTCCAGCTTTCGTCAAAGCAGCACTGTCCTTCAGTGCAGAGCGAAACGTGTCCACTCACCTGCCACCAGTTGGAGTCCTCCTTGTTGACGACCTGAAGGATGTCTCCCTTGGAAAAGGCAAGGCCTGCCTCTTTACAGGGGATCAAGTTGTCTGTGGCCGGATTATAGTTGAAGTGGGGCTTCAGATAAATCTGTGAACAAGATATCAGACTATTACATCGTAAAGAGAGCATACACAACAGGATCGAGCAAAACCTTCTATCACTTTTTTATAAATATATTGTCACATTGGGCTGGACAATGTAGATTTAAAAAAAAGAGTATTTTTACACCTAAGTAACTTCATTATTAACAGTCTGGCAGCTCTTTATTTAAACTAATGTTATCATAACAATCATGAGGGCATGTCCACTTCCCTTTTCTCCCCCCTTTATAATCCTCATGTTGGATTCGGCAGTTATATTGCAAGCTTTCAAGTTCTCTTTACCTAACTGCCGCCATTATTTGTGTTTACACAAAGCTGTTCTCCGCACATGTTTAATCTTTTTTTTAAGACTCTGTGTCAGGTTTTATTTTCAATAGATGTTATCACCTGTTGTCCATTTCTATTTTGTTACTTCTTCTATGAATGCTTAAAGTCCGAAGGCTGAATAAGGGGGATGAACAAAAGGGACCAGTGTGAGGAGTTGGAATGTTTTAACCATGCTCAATGGCATGAGCAAAGTGAACTCGTTGAAAGATTAATCGTGTCTATTACTGTAGTGAATTTGTACTACATAGGACCAATTACAAGTGAAAACACTTAGCATAACTGAAAACCAACGTGCACAAACAGTGGGATTAGATCATTGGATCCTCCCGGCACAAAGGTCAGTGTCTGACATAACCCTACATGCTGCTCCTTGGTGTCAGCTGCTGTGTGTGCCTGTTACTGTAAGAAGGAGGGTGTGGGGCTCCAGTGAATAGAGTGGTGTGTGTCCCAGATAGTGTGAAGAGTGTTATTAATAGACCCTTACTGGGCTCAATTTTCAGAAGCCTGGCATTTTGAGATCACCCAGGTCAGGCAGCTCTTCTCCAATCCTTGAAAAGAGTCGTCCCTGATAGCCTCGCACACCTGACTTACGCATCCTGTACCACACTGATCTCAGGATTTCTCTAAAAGAACTCCTGAATTGAAAAACCTGGCATTCAATTCAGATTTCCCAGGATTCTTAGTTCCCACAGGTAAAAACCCTGGATGGAAAAAATCCTCCTTTTCTTCACCCACCTGTGGGGGGGCCGGTGTGTCTCTGTAGCTAGGCAGGACCTTGAGAGTGATGCTCCCACTGCAGACCCCTAACAGCTCCTGGAGTTGATGGGGGTCCCGACCGACCTCGTGACCGTTCACCTCGCGGATAATGTCCCCAGTGTGCAGCATGCCCTGCCTGTCAATCGAGCTGCCGTGCAGGATCCGTGCGATCACCATCTCTCCCCGCTCCACGCGGAACGTCACCCCCTGAAAGAGAGTCATCATACATCCGCACATCATAAATCACGCTGGAGGTCCGTTTCATAGCATGGCCTGTCCGGTCACTGTGAAAGAAGCAGCTCATGTCGAGTTACTTTATAAAACCGAGTCACCCTGTTCTAACAGATGGTGAATAAAAGAGGACACGAGTAAGACTTTCAACACATAGCTCCACTGCAGAGCTGTGGTTGATGTAAATGCCTGGCTTACTCACCAGTGGTTCCCCAGCTTTCTTCTGAATGCCAATCATCCTGACAGCATCAGCTGGCATGAGTGAACTCGTCATCAACGCATTGCTGTTCACTGCAGCGTTGGGCATTTCATAACACTTTGCAGCAACTTTGTCATGAGCCTCTATCAAAGACTGTGGCAGGAAAAAAGTAGAACAGGGGAAAAACATTACAGACAGAATTAAGAGGAAAACCTTATTCACAATCACTGGATTAAATATGTATGGTTACTTTCTGTGCCCACCACCAAACGCGCAATAACTGCTACAAAGGATGACTGCCAATGCAACATGCATTTGATTTATTACCATGAAACAGTGAAGAGGTAAATCACTTTACTGTGCACTTTCCTTATGAAGACAACCGTTTTATCACTGCATTGACAGATACATAATTGATATTGAGAGAAGATAATCAACCTTATTCTTACCCTAGCAGCCACAACCTAGAGTTAGCATGGGTCAGAGACTACAAACTGCATCAGTGAATATTTACTGAAACAGTAGGTGACACTTTTCTCCCCGGTCTTTACCCGCATAACTCAGCCTGCTATTGGCCCAAGGAAATACACCCCCACCCTCCCATGTCGCAGCTTGTAAGTGGTTGAGAATATAAAGGACGACATGGGAGCAGAGCTGCCACCACTTAAGAATATTAACCAATGGTTGGGTGCGACAGGCTCTGACATCCATTCCCACACAAGCTAGACCATTCAATCTACAAATCTCCCATTTAACCACAGACACCAATTGTGTACAAGAAGAATGATGTCTTAGATACCTTAAAGTTTGGCTCCTGCAGGATTTTCAGAAGCTCAGCAGCTGCAGCATCTTTTTCAGGCATGTTCTGAAGGGAATCCAAGATCTCTGTGACCAGCTGGACATTATCATCCCGCACAGCTCTTAGCTTAACTTCTTCAAGACGCTCATGAGCCTATAAACACAAACACAACAACAAAACAATGACCAGTTTATCCGGCTGTCTGCTGAGAGCATGGAGCAGTGAATACAATGACGCTCAACCCCCAGTGTCGCTGACTAGTGTACACACACTGTATGTCAGATTAAAGAGGTCAGACACTGTTATTATACCAACAACTCCATACACCCAATGTAGCAGGTAATACAATAACCAAAGAAAGCAGTGCTCCATTTCCGAGAAATGAGGACAAGAGCTTGCCTTAGTGACAGGTTTTCTATAGAAGGGAATCTATTAATAGATTTGGTAGATGGACCATGTGACCTCAATCTGCATTGGAGATTTATTTCTGTTATGCAAGCAAATTGTTCTTCATGCTGTCAAACTATTTTAGCTATGTGGAATCATTGATTTAACTCCTGTTAAAAAAGGAACATTTCTATGTCAACTTAAGCTAAAGTCAAGTCATTAAAATAAATCTGTATTCTGTCATAGAAAATGTCATAACAAAGTCATTGTATAGTATGATAATATATATATGTATCTATATTTAACCTTCATTTCCTGTGGCTAACAGATACATTTGCTGCTCTCATATCTAGTGTGTGTGTGTGTGTGTGTGTGTGTGTGTGTGTGTGTGTGTGTGTGTGTGTGTGTGTGTGTGTGTGTGTGTGTGTGTGTGTGTGTGTGTGAGTAAATGTTCTACCTTTGCCAGGGAGCGGACAATTGGGCTCTCCATGATGCCTCTGAGGAAAATGAGGTCAATATCTTTGGCTCCTGAGCCCGAAGGCAGGTCTTTCAGGTTGTCCAGTACCTGCTGCATTGCTAAGAGAAGAAAAAGAAACTTCAAAGATTGAGCTGACAGAATCTCAACTGCACCCTTTACTACTTTCGAGCTTATGAGCTTTAAGAATGCGGGCAGAAATGTTAGAGACAAACAAAACTCATAGCCAGTAAAAATGCAAATGTAAAACAAAACAATGCGGCTATAATAAGAGCTTACAAAGCCAGAACAATAAGTAGGCAGTCATGAATGCGCCAATTCAGAGAGAAGATCCCTTATTTCCATTGCAGCAGAAAAAAGCACGCAGTCACAAAGGAATTGTTCTACTAACAGAACTGCATTGTAAACTCTGACAGTACGCAGCAAAAAACTGAAGCCCACGTTGCTGACGAATACAGACAGTTTTTCAAATATAATGCTTCGATAAAATGAAAAATTGCCTTCTTTACTTCCTGGGAATTATTATTTCATTATAATAGAAACAGTCATGCAATGTGTTGTTTTACTTTAGGAGAATACGAAATGTCTGTGCAGTCACTGTGTAAGCCAAACATATTGCCTGTTTTGTGAGTATTTTCTGTAAAAAAAATTGAGTTGTGGTTATTGTGAAATAAAGAGGGACACATGTAAAAGTTCAGAGAACACACAACTATCTCTGGGCAAATTTGAATAAAATGTCAAATCTTGGATACAACAGTTCCCGTGCAAACAATTAGTTAGGACTTTGTCTTTGACTTCTTACCTTTGGCAGACTGTGCATTGGCCACAGTCATGTTTAATAATCCTCTGCTCAGGACGGTGAAACTCTCAACTGCCTGCTGACAGAACCCAGAACAACTGGAGGGCTAAAAAGAAAGCGCACTCAGGTCAGTATACTGTGTGCTCAGATCACCATACTTTACAAACCATGTCATGAAATAAATGAAGCTGAAATGACTAACATCTAGCTGTTAGAACATAAGTAGATAGTATGAATGCACGAGAGGCACCATAACATAGAAAACATGTGTTTGTCTTCCTGTTTCATGCACTTGTTAGCACAGAGAGCTCTTGTGAATTGAGGGAATGAGTAAGAGGTCCATTGAATGACAAAGGATGAGTCTCTAGTCCTTCTGGCTAAAGGTTGTGCCAGCCACACACACAGGGAGGCCCCCGGGGAATCTGTTCAAACACGATCTCCAAACAGAGTGAGGCAAAAACAGCACTACCAATGGCTAAGTGAGTAGGTAGACAAACAGAAGAATGGACTTTTTGAGCATAGGCCCCATCACCTCTCAACAGTAAACTGTATTAACATCATGATTGCAACAGTGTACAAAATGTCAACGAAGACAGCAAAAACTCAAATGATAATCCAGAGCAAAAAAAGACAAGAAGGGCACAAACTCACCTATAAACTATATTCAAATCATCAGTGCAGCACTCAGACACAGGTTTCTTACAAAACACACATCTGGTACCTCTGGACTAAAGGGAAAGTAGGAAAATCATAAACATAGAAATATTATTATTGTATCATCGAGTTGTCCAAGAAAACCTAAAAACCCTTAATGACAAATGCTGCTCATTGTGGTAAGTAAAGTCCTCCCTACCTTAACAGTATTTGGTTGTTTTTAGTTAGGTGTTTTGTATGTTGTTAATGTTTTTACATACAATTATTATATATTTTTTATCTAGATAATGTGTTAACAGAGCTATATCTTCAATACTTTCTGCTTGCTTAGTGTAGTGATCCCTATTATCAAGCCTCTATTAGCTTATTAGGGTGTTCCTTTACGCATATCGTCATTATGTCTTGTAGTTGTATTTTAACTATTTTTGAATAAAATAATAAACTAAATATAAATTTCAAAATATCAATGTCTATCAGCTTCAAAAAACCAACAACAGTGGGGCTTTAACTTCAATGTAAGATTTGTCTATGTGATAGTCTCTTCTGTGTTACTGGGTAGGAAGGCAAACTGCAAGTTAACACATTACATACAAATAGGTGAAATGGAAGGAGTACTAGAACACAGCTAAATTATCAAGACTGGGGTGTTTACATTTTTAAAAACTGAGAGGTTAGACGCCCCGAAAAGTATATTGCATTTTCAACCCACTTCTAGCTTATCACAATGTTCATAAATGAGAGCCAGTAGAGTTGCTATAGAGACAGTTAAACCGCACAGGAGGAGCAGCCGGGTGTAGTGACGTGAAGGCTCTGTACGCATGGTAGCAGATAAGTTAATAAATGGTATATACATTTGTTTTCCTGTCATGTAATAAGACTGTAGTAACTTAAAGTGGACTTACAACAAAAAAGGCAGCCTCCAAGAAGCGTGTTCGCTGCAGTGATTTGCTGTCAAGCTACATGCACACTGGGCACGTGTAACGTTTACCACTTTCAATGTGAGGTAACTTAGCCAAAAACGACAACAAGCCATGTGTAGCTAATTAGCGCTGGTAAACACCGATGTTAGCGTTAACGAACAACATTGCGATGTTATTTTCACCATGTTGAACTGCAGCTACGTGGTGCCTCCACTAGTGCCCGTCCCGTACCAAGTTAAGGCTAGCCATTACTAGTTTGTACCTCATCTGAATGCAAGTTAGCAATGCTAATTGTTGCTAGCAAACACTGAATAGCCTTTCCATGTTGCACGTTAAGTTTCTTTCAGACTGACATAATGCTACCATAAACGAGCAAAATTACCACTGCTACACTGTCTGTTAAATGTTTCAATGTGAAGTGATTCTAGCGTTATAGTTAACCAGTCATTAGATAGTTACGTTAGCTAATATCATGTGGCTCAGAATAGCTAGCTAACGTTAGCTGGTCGTGAGAACCGAGACACTACAGGGTCCCATGGTGAGACCCCTCAACGTTACTCAATTGTCTGTTGAAATGAATGAATGATACATTACCTAATTTATCCATTACCATCCAGTCACGCTTTCATGCTTCCCTTCTACAGTTTCTTAATTCGCACACCACTTGCGCAATAAATCGTTAGTGCATTTCCAGCCTGCGTTCCTTCCCTCAGTTCCCCGTCCACACAGACAGTGATGTGCTAATGACATCCTATCCTATGCCGTTACATTGGAATCCTGCTCAACCCACCCATACATTTACTCTAAACCTTATGTATAAATAACAGTAGTTGACAAAAGGTGTAACTTTATTCAATATTGTTCTCCCTATCACATGGAACGACCCCAAACAAAATGTGAGCTTTGATTTTAGCCTTTACTCTCTGCAATATTGTGAGTTGACACCTCAGTAGTTTGTTAACCATAAATACAAATTTAGGCTAGCTATTTAAACTTTAAATATCTATTTGTGAATAGAATATGTACCAAAATGGTAATAGAGAGCTTTTACTATATTGTTCGTGTAAGCATTACATTTTTTCTCACTGGCAAAACTTCAAGCATCATATCAGTGCCTACAATTGCATAGCCAACAACATATTTAAGAATTAAACTTTTAAGAAACACTTACCCCATGAGGAACGTGTAGCCTACTGTATTGTACATTTCTACCATAGCCCTTGTGATACCATCCCTACATCTGGCTTAATTTCTACATCAGCATGCAGCAACAACAGATTTCCAATTCACCAAATCTGGTAAATCTGCTGCACTGGAGCTTCTTTGAAAACCCAGAGCTTTCATATAGTTACAGAACGCCAGTCTCATGGACCGAGTTAACCAGAGTTGTGCTGCGTGATGTATCCAGGTCACTTGATTGGATTAAACTGTTAATCTATTTTCAGGCAAGGTGGAGCCACATCTCATCTGGCTTGAAAGAAACCAGTCAAATAAATGCAACACGGTGGTGTGTGAAATTAACAGTTAATTTGTATTTTACTTTCCCTAAAAATATAACATTAACAACAGTCATGAGTTATGAGCTACATGCCGAGCTTGAAAATGTTAAGAGATACATGTTCACCAGTAGGCAGCACTGTTACTCCATCAGAAAATGACACAAACGACGTTGCTCAACATACTGACACTAGAAATACAAGAAATGCAAGGTAGTACTACTGAGTGTTAATCAACATTACAGACCAAACAAGTTACGCAACACAATTTTCATTCCATGCAGTCCAAATTGATTTCATGTGGATGGAGCAGCTTTGTCGTAAAATCCGCCTGGACATGACAGCTCCAGCAGCATCACCACAGTGGCAGCCCATCATACCTACAACACGAGGAAGTGAAATCAAATCTTTGTTTTCTGACAGACTTTAAAACCCATGTTAGATGTATTTCTGTCCATATTCACATACGAGAGGAAGACCGTAAAATACAAATAAATGAAATCTAATACCACCACTAAATACAAACCAAAACAATTCCTTAACAAAGTGTTACCAGAAACATTTCAGCTTTAGCTTCAAAATAATTATGAATGCACATTAATTACTTAATTAATTATTTATTACTTAAGCGTCTTTGAGCATTAGGAAAAGCGCTATAAAAATCCCATGTATTATTATTATTATTATTATTACATTGCTGGTGTATGGAACATCACTAGATTGCAGGTTTGTAGTTTGTAGTGGCAATTTCTTATTTTACCTTATATGTTCTAACACTACTGTACCATTTCCTGATATATGCTGTTTTCTGTGCATACTCTCATGAGGGTTATTATTCTTAAGCGCTTCAAGGTCACAGAGCTGATTTGGCAGACTATGTTGAAACTACTCCTCTTCACACAAAGTTTGAACTTCCATATTCTGATAACCATTATGCTTTCTACAGCTCAAAGACACAGGTGTCTAATAACAATATGAGACATCCGTGTGAAAGCAGATTTCTGAGGCGTTCCGCCTACTGTAGCTACACAAAAACTCTGTCTGCCCGCCCTAACTTGTATATAAGCTTTGCTATTCTGTGACTATTGCGCACACTCCTGCAGACTACCCTGTACTCTGTGAGACTTGTGCCTTCGAGGCGCCTCGAATAAAGATCCAGAAAGACAACTCTGTTTGTTTCACCAGTTTATTGATTGATCATTCTAATTGTATTTCTCCACAGTATTGACTAGGTCTAAGATTTCCATAACAAGTTATATAAACTCATATTGTATCAGGCAATAGCATACAGTATTTTGGATAAAACTGATAAAGACATAACAGATTATTTGTAAAAGAAATTAAGTGATTTACCTGCCATAGTTAGATCCTGGAAAACTCTCTGAGCTCTCCCTCACCAACACATCTGAAAATACAGTATCTGGGGTGTCACGTTTCCCGTACCTATGCACAACAAAATCAAGTAACACAGTCATATTTAATTACATGTTCTTTTAAAATGTATTATTGCTACAGTATGTTATAGAAACGGAATAACTGACCTCTGTCTCGTAATGAGATTGATGTAGTGTCTTAGTGCAGAATAATATTTGGCGATCTCATCAAGTGGGGCGCCTTCTCGGGGGCTGACAGGCTTGGCTGGATACGCGTTGATGCCAGAGTGAACACAAGTCAGCAGGCAGAGAGCCAGCGACATCACAGTGCTGGAGCAAAACCTGGATCACAGTAAAAAGACATAAAAAACTAAATGTCATTCAGCAATTTCACAAATCAGAAGTAGAAGCCACCTATTGGACTGATCAAATAATATAAATTATTTAAGAACAAAAAAAGAATTATTCAACAATGTAAAAATGGCCAAGAAGAAGCAGCTTTATATTGGATACAATATCCAATATAAAGCTTTTATGGCAGCTACACCATAAAAACTGCCAGATCCAACATTAACTACTGACATTCAATTTACAAAATGTGCTTTAAAAGGAAAAGGTAGGAAACAAAAATTGCTTACATTGTCGTGCAACTCTTGGAAATTCTGCTGTAGTCGGTTTTCTTGCTGGTCAAGGCTCCTCTGGCAGATTTCCAACATTGCCTGTGTTTTATACAGTGTGTCGAATGGGGAGGGGGTGTCATCTGATTCACTTTTAGGGTACTCCTGAGAGATATCTACTGCTTCATTAGTTTAGTAATTACTGATTGCCGAAGCAGTGAAACAAATGTAGATAGTCTGTAACAACATTGTAATCAAAACATGTAAGTGTTCACAGCATTAGATTAATTGAAATATTTAATATTTTACTTGGAAGGTTACGTTTTGTTATCAATATATTCAAATTAACTGCATTTATAATAATCTTGCAGAAGGCAATATGTCTGCCTTTAGGATACTAATGTATGTTTTTCAACATGATCAACTCTGCAGCAAACAATGAGTTGAGTTATTCATTCATTTTCAAAGGCACACACAACTAATTAAAATACATGTAAAATGTAGTTTGTTTTATCCCTATTCATTCTTGACTTTACATCAAATAGGGTGGCCTTGAATGTTTGAAGGGTATAAAGGTGTACCCTTGCAAATTCCGTTTTCTTCCAAAAAGAAATGTGAAAGACAAAGTATAATCATTTGCAAAGTAGTGATAAAAGCAGAGACCAAACTATATTAATTTAGAGTGTCCTTTTAAGAGTCACAGCCAGCATGAAGCATCTTCATAAAACCTGTGATGTGTTGCTGATGACGGTCGGCTGTTTCACATTAACTTGATATATACTCCCGAACCATTGACCGCTGTGAAAGTGCATATGAGAACTATGGAAAGACCATGCGATAGCTTGACCCCAACGGGGCTTTAATGAGTTAGCTACCATTGAAAAGTGAACTATTCATTTAGCATCAATGCACAAAGGATAGCAACATAGTGAAGCAATGAGGAACCCTACCAACACTAAAGGAATGATATATCATTATAATACGAGATTGTAAACCAAGCTCTATGCGCTCAATGATCAATATCTAAATGATTTACTCCAAGGTATATATGTTTTCCTATATATGGACATTTACTTAATTAAAAATGTAACTTGTCCTTTGAGGATTTAATGAATCACCACAAAAAAGTGGGTTTGACAACATCACTACCCATTCTTCATTCATCAACCATTCTTCTTTCGAAAATAAATACAACAGAAACGCTTTACATGTTACGGGGGAAGAAAAATAATAAGCTTGATTAAAGCAAATTTCACTTCTCTTCCAAAGAAAATTTCAATGAGAAAGTATATATATTGGCAAAGTAGTGATAAAAGCAGAACATTCAGAGTGTCCACTTAAGGTTCATAGCCATCATTACAGCTCTCAATAAAACCGATGATGTGTAACTTTAAATGGCTGATGCCGGTCAGCTGCTTTTTACATAAAGTTTAAACATGTTGGGAAGTATGATGTTTCAGAGGAACGCAAAGGTGGGGTCTGCAACAGGAAACAAAGACATTAATTAATTTAATTATGCATACATATTCTGAAAGGTAGAAAAGGAAAATGTAGTCCTTCTTAACTCTACTTAAACGTTAGCATTTTAAGTTAAACATGAAAAAGATTGGAACACGGTTGTATTAAGACACTACCTAAACTAAACCAGCAAGAATAGCTACAAATTACACCAAATCATACAAAATAGGTTAGTCAATCACTCAAACCCAAAGATTTCCAACTTCAGATTGATAGAGCACAAAAAGCTTTCAGCCCCTAAATGGTAAGATTACTTTAATAGCAACTATCTTTTTTGAAGGGCACTCTAGGGGAATTTGACAGTAGAATGGTGCCTTCATTTCCTGACAGTACACAGGACAGTCTTTGTAGGGAAGAAAACACATTTCTTTAAGCATCAAGGGTTTGCATTTGAATAGACAGAACAAAGCAAAATATCACTCACAATCTACCCTGTTGATAGTCAGTACAAATCTGTTAATATAAAGGTCCTAACATTTTGGGAAAGCAAAGGAAAAAAACGATCAAAAATGTAATTCATTGGATATGTTGTGGAAAATATAATTCATCCTGTTCCTCTGTAACCTTGAGTTCTTTCACATGACGAGATCAAAGAGTAGAACTATTACAATATGCAATACCACTAGGGGTAATACATGTTCTAAGAACAATGGGGGATGTGCTGTATGGATAAATGGCAATAATTAATGCTATAATTAAATACTTAGTCGCATCAGCTTGCACAGTCACCTACTGTAAAAGAAGGAACAGGTGCATAATGCACAGAGAGCCTTTTAAGTGCCATCTCTGATACGTTAATGTGATCTCTGGTATTACTCCTTCCCTGAGAGAGCACCACACGGTGCCAACTCACCAGAAGGACATAGATTCATATAAAGGAACATAGATATCCACATACTGATTTTATTCCACAAAAATGTTTTTAAGTAGGGAATTGAAGTTGGAGTCTTGGCTGGTAAATTATTTATTTACGGTCAAAATATGTATACTTTTTTGTCCTTTTGTCTATATTATGTGGTTGTACTGTATATATGAAATGTATTAAGTGCAAACAAGTGCCAGCGAAATAAATGTTTTGTGCCTCCCAATGTTCGTCATACAGCAATAAATCTACAATGCAAGACACTGTGCTACTGCTGTTTTCAAACGCTGACTACTCTCCCTCAATCTCCTCTATCATAGAATATATTAACAGCATGGCCATTAATGGCTACACAACAGCGGGTAAAAGGACTGCAGCTAATGAGAACATTAGCCCATGAAGAAACGTTTGAGTCTAACAGAACCAATCTTTTTTTCTTCCACTCGTTTCAATTGTTTCTTTAGAGCCATTTTGTTAATCCACCAGAAAGTAGATGGTTTAATAGTTTGCGAGAGGAAAGGTCACAAAATGAATTGCATTAAGAGCATTGCATTCATTAGTTTTATACAATCTCACACGTGCTACTAATACCAATAGTTATTTGACATTCTGTCTTTAGTTAAACTTTGAATATTTTAATTTTGAGTCAATTTTAACTTAAAGTCCAAATCATTCTTGGTTAGTTTTTGATGTGTTTAAAATCCTATGGCAGGATTCAATCATGTTAAGTTTTCATTGAGTCTTTTTTTACTTTCAGACCATATAAGTACAAACAACACGACAGAAAGTCACTAAAACATTCAAACACTCAGTCCAGTCAGGCTCTGTGTAGTTATCTCGCTTCATTACATTTTTACATTTAGCTAATGTTCTGATCCAGCATGACTTAAAACAAGTAATTGAAACGGAGCGGTCATTTGCAAGGAAGTGTTAATTAAGGGTGTGTGGTGTGGTGTGGTGTGGTGTGTGTGTGTGTGTGTGTGTGTGTGTGTGTGTGTGTGCACACGAGTGTTTGGATCTGATTCTCCTTAGACATACTTGTGACATCATGACAGACCCTAAAAATATTTGTAGAAACCACAGTGATGGAATTCTTAAAATGTTCACCCAACAATGTTGTAGCTCGATCGATGCACACCATAAAGGTTTTTTAGAATAAAACAAAGCATGGTATNGGAATATTTGTTTTTTATCTCCAAAAACGTAATTTAAACAGCAAACAAAAAAAAGAATGTTCATGGGTTCATTCTTTGCCATGAGTAGCCTACTTTTAGTTTTAGTTTAGTTTAATATGTAAAATTCACAACTTTGTATTGAAAAAACCTGTAAAAATGTATATTAAAGGTGGGGTATGTAATTTATTTCAGAAACACTTTTTGTTATATTCCATGGAATGCTCTTAACATCCCGATAGCAATGAATATATTAAATGCTTTGACAATAAATACATCAAAAAATGCCATCTGTGGAAGCCGTAGCACTATAAAAAGTACGACCAATCATTTTAGCCGGCCCGGCTAAAATAACTGGATGGCCTACCTGCCTGTCAGCCTTCCATCTGTGCACAACATAGACTGTGTGCACAAACTTATCTCGTGCCCTCATTGGTCATGTGCGCGTTCGTGTTTGTTGGAGGAGGGGCTCTGTAAGGAGATCTGAAGGAAGAGGCAGATTTTTTCTGGTTGTGTACTTTCAATTTCTAGCGCACTCGAGCTGGTTTCTCCAAAATTACCTATCCCACCTTTAATTGAAAAGTATCTAGAATGGTATTAAAATAATGTATTGTTAACCATCACAATATCTAAAGACATACATATTTTATGAGCAGACTCAAATTATTCAAACATAATTACTTTATTTACAAATGCGGTAAAACAAATGTGTATACAATGAATCAATGTGGTGGGGACAGTGAGCCCTACAGTTTATCTGTTTGAGAGATCAATCCATTTATCAATTCCAAATACAAAACATGTTGTCTTTTTGACCAAATATGACTTAAGTGACAATAAAGTTGCTTATTACAGGGATAGAGGAGGCTGCATCTAAAGTCACAAAGAAGTAGTCAAGTTGGTTTAAAGTCAAGTCACAACTTAGATGATTTGTCACTTTGTAACTTTCCCATCATATATAAAGTCTTCCGGTAGGGTCTCCGTGGGCATGCTCTTCAGCTGCTCATCATACTTGCGGAGAGTCCAGAGTTTCTCCAGTTCAAACACTTCTCTGCTCTCTGGTAGCATGAAGTGGACAACCATGTTCCCTGAGACAGAGAAAGGAGCAGAAAAGTGAACACCAAGAGTAACTCTATCGACACTCCATTTTGTATTAACTGTCTAAAGTAGATATTATAAAATAGGATCTCTTTGTTTAACATACCAAAGTCAATACACATCCAGTCTTCTGCATCCTTTCCTTCTATCTTGACATTCGGTGCTCCCTCTTTCTTTAGAAACTTGTACTGTTGGAAAATCATGCATTGTTTAGGTTTCAATAACAAATTGCAGATAAAAACATTTATAAGAATGCAATGAGAATATAAATGTTAGTTACCACTTTGATGGCATAAAGAGCCATGGCACGGAGGTGTCTCGGGGATACACCACTGACAACAATAAAGTACTCTGAGTATGTGATCTGCTCTGGTACTTTAATCACACAGATGTCCACAGCATTTTCCTGACGCAGTAGAGAGACCAGTACATCAATGGTAAACTTCTCTGGAGAACCTGAAGAAAAAACAAGGATGACAAATATTGTCATACTTAAAACAAGGTTAAAAGGTTGCTCAACAGTAAGTGAACGCAATATTATATCTTTATGTTGTCTTGCATGATATTGCAAAAGTATTAAATAATTCAGTCATTTGCTATCCAAACTGTATTGGAGTTGTGTAATGTTATATTCCAGATTTATCTGTCAATCAATTCCAATCTGTATCTATTTATCTGTCTTGTGAAAAAGCAGTAAATACTCACTTTTAAGATAAAATCATAAAATGATTGAACAGATTTCTCGACAAATTACTTCATGATTGATCGATTGACAATTATGTGTCCATTCATTTCTGTTCATCGACTAACAGTGATTATTTTTTCAACTCTAGTTTTATTAAGCCATCATACTGTTAAACAAGGAAAGGTTGACCGTGATCCAATTTAACAAGCTGGAACAAACAAAACCTTGGGAGTTTAGCTTTCCATTATCTTTAACTACATTATGAACAGTTAATTATCTATCTATTGATGCGTTTACTTGTCACTCACGTTAAGGATTTCACCTGCCGTTACTTACTTTGATTCAGTGCACTGCTGCCCCTCTCCATCTCCTGTGATTCCTCTCGAAATACGCCAGTGCTTTTCGTTGATTCATCGCTTTCTGTACAAATCTCTGAGTATAATCTTTTTGTGTCTAAATTGAGTGTGGATACGTGATGTCTGTGCTGACATGAGGGTACATTTGTTGTGAAAAGTGGAGGCAAAAACAAGTCTTTACGAGATTTGGGGACCGAACAGACGCTTCTTAAAACGCCGGTGCGATCCAGTAAAACGCTACTTTTAAATACTGAGATTAGTTTCTTAGACCGAGTGAGAATATTCATGATTTTAACTTAAACTACATCACAGCACACACGAGCATGTAGGCAAGAAGCTAAAACAGGAAGTGACCTTGGATTTTGATTGGTTGGTACGGCTTCTTTGTTGGTCCCTGGCCTCAGGTAAATGAAGAGCACCCCCTATCGATGACAGATGGTATGGACCCCAGAACATAAAATGGGTCTGCCAATTTATATAATCCATAATCCATAATCGATGGCAAATTGGAATTAAGAGACACGCATTAGATTACATTTTTACGTTTATTTCTGTAGGAAAAGTGCAGGAATGAAAAATATATCGTTTTACAAAATCAATACCTTTGCCCTTTATTGGACTTTCTTTATAAAATTGTAAACATTCTCTAATGTCAGATAATCCACATTAATTCCACCTGAGATACTGTATAATTAAAATACCCAGTACATTGTCCCATTAAAAACAGAAAATTAAGTATGTAAACAAAACATTGTCATGCAAGTATAGATCAGAACAATGTCCCTTTTTGTTCATTTTTGTTCCCTTGGACTCCGTTTTCTCGCCGGGTCATCATTAATCAGCACAGTCAGAGTCCATAATTACATTCAGTCTCAAGCCCACAGGAATATGGTCCGTAAGGCCAGCCAGCTGGGTTATAAAGGTCAGCGCCTCAATTTCCTAGTTGGAGACAAAGAGATTGTGTTTTTGTTAATGCTTTTATTAACTTGCAGTTTAAGATTTTATATAAAGTACTGACTGAACATTGTTTTGCCATAAGTAATTGTTTAATGAATTTGATGTAGCATCTAACATATTTGTTCCTTCAAGAACAGAAGAAATAGGAGGAAGAAAGAGAAGAAGGAGTAGGAGAGATTGTGAAAAACACACAGGGTCACGTACTGTTCGGCAGTGCTTTGAAACGGAGCTCTCGCGGTATAGGATGTAGTCGATCCGACGTCCGATCCACGGCTGGTTGGACTCAGGGTAAACCAACGGGAGGTTCTTTGCAGGAACGGGACGGGAGATGTACTGCTTTCTTAGCTCTTCCATCTCTAAGGTTCTACACACATAAACAGAGAAGACAAAATGAAGCTTCAGCAAATAAAAAGTGAGAAAGGAGTTATGTTCATGTCCCATTAGAAGTGCTGTGCAGTGCAGAAGCTGGAGAAAGTGGAACTGACTTTACCTTTGTAGTTTTTCTGGGGTGTTAATGTCATCTTCATACAATGTGGGCTGCTCCAGCAGAGTGCCTTTAGATGCAAACAAATTAAATACCAATTCAATTATTTGTCTTGTCTTGTAGTAGTGTACTGTAGTCTAATGTTTTGAAATGGTACGCACCAATGACCCAGGGCTTCTCTTTTCCAGGCCCTGCCCTGCATGGATCTCTGTATTGCTCAAACAGACAGTGATTCTGTTCCAGGTGGTCATCTAAAAAAAAAAAAACATTAAACACATATAGCATATATAGTATACAACAAAAATAATACAAAAATATTCAAAGTCGCACCAGGTGAGCAGTTGTCAAAATTCAGATCTCCACAGAGCACATCAAAAGCAACATCCTCGTCAGGGAATGTGTTGGCAGCTTGGAAATCGCCAATCCACTTGGTAACCATGTTCAACTGCTCACAGCGAATTTCTCCTTCACCTAATGAAAGAAAACACAGACCAGTTATCACGCTCTCTTCTTAACTTATTGTCTTTTAAAGCAAATGCCAATTTTTTTATTATTCTAAGAGCAAATCAGATAAATGTACTTGCCTTCTGGTGCATGAAGATGTGTGCAGTTAAAATAGCCAACCACTCTCTTCTGTTTCGAACTCTGCCCGATTAGCACCTACAATTTTCAAAAACAAGCATTAGATCTATATTCACTGTGTTCATATTGACAAAAAAAATGAATAATGACTTAAATTCCACAAAACAAGAAGGACAACTATAATAATTAATAGTGGCTTTAATAACATTATTAAGAGAGATACCTTAGCAGAAAGGAGGCCCTTGGCAGCCAGTGCATCTTCCCCCCTGCTGTTAGGGAAGCAGTGGTACTGGGCCTCCAGCACAGGGAACCGGCTGGCTAGGAACAGGCCGCTGTTGAGGAACTTGAAAGAGGAACATCTGCATGGTGGCTGGCAGGCATACACACCAACGTCATACAGTATGTGTCCAAACACGGGTCTGAGTGCTTGAGTGAGTTTCTGTGCCGCCCTCTTATCAAACACCTCTTCCAGGCACAGTATGTCCACATTGGCTGGGAACAATGTCGACACCTCCCATGGTACATCGCCCTTCTGGCCGAGACCCTGGGAGAGCAAAGCTCGGGGAGCACTGCGGTGACCCCGCTGGTTGGAGTTTTGATTGGAATTGGAAAGGTGAGACGGTGAGTTGTCCAAGGGCTCTTTTGTATCATCAGAGGGCACACAGACCACTTGACTATTGGACTGTGGGATTGAAACCTGTACTTCAGCTGAATTGGAATGATTTACTGGGGACTGCGCTTGTCTTTCAGTAGCCCCGTATGAAGAGGAGTTAGATGCAGGGAGTATGCTGTTTGAGGGGCTGAGAGTACCACAGCTGCTGGGAGAGTCAACAAAGATACGGATATCGTTCCGACACACACCGTGCACAATGTGCTGACCAATAGCAGCTGCCCTCCGCTGAGTGTGCCCCAGGTTGTTAAAACGAGCAAGGCCGTCAGGCAACAGACAGAGGTTGGCTGTGGCAAATCCAAATGATGCCTTTCCTACCAGCTCGAATCCCCTGTGTGTCTCCCTCTCTAGTGAGGATGGGGGCTCTCTATGGTAGCGAAAGGGCCTGCGACAGGCCTGAACAGGTGCCCAGAGAATAAATCCCAATAAGGCGAATGGAGCTGCGAGGAAAAAAAGAATGAAAAAGATAATGAAGCCGAAGAAGACCTTGAGGGGGTTGAGGTAGCATTCCTGTTCCAGTCGCTGAGTTTGTTCCAGGGTGGTGGACTTGCACACAGCAATGAGACGATCGAGAAACCAGAAGCAAGGCAGGATGAGTGCCCATCCCACAGCATGGATGCCTGCAACAAACCCATTAGGAAATGGAGAAGCCTTCAGGGCCATGCCTATGCGCCTTTTCTAAGCAACAATCAGGAAAAGCAACATGGGGTCTTCACTATTCTAAACACGTTCCCGATCTAGTCTCATTCTGGTGCAAAGACTCCCTCATTGGCTCCTAAAACAAGAAAAAGAAATAAAAATGTCATGGCATGGCTCTTACAACTCTTGCATCTCCACTATGCGTTATCAGGACTAACTGGCTTTCATTTCAACATTGACTTCATGCCCAAACATGCAGTTGGGGAAACATGTGACAACAATTGACAGCTGGACTGACATCAGAACAATACAGTCAGGTGCAGGGGGGTGGCCAGACCAGCTTAGTGGAAGCTTATGCAGTGAATGAATCATAATCACTTTTAAGGAGGCAAAGAGAAAAGCATGGTGAAAACAGCCTATAATACCACTGTCATAATCTGCAATGTTGCCACTGCAACATGAACCTGTCTGAACAAGCACCCCACCCTTGTCTACAAGTACAGAATCATTATGAGTGTGTCAACAAAACATTTTTCTTATCTTGTACTTTCATTAAAAAAAATATTTAATCCATTTCTAATCTGATGTACATGTATTTTAGAAATGACAATATGATATTTTCGCATCTGATACAATTTACGGTGGAAAAAACGACCATTATGTACAAAATGTACGCCCTGTTTTATTGTGGATATGCCCTTTAACTTATATTGCAAAACTCTGACTAACACACTGGACAAAAAAACGACACAATACAACAAGGAAATTACAACTCTCACATCGCCTCACACAAAGATCCTTGTCAAGCCGGATATCATCACTTTGTTATGTTGTTGTATTGTGTAGGGAACAGCAAGGGATGTGAGCTTTCAGTCTCACATGTAAGTAAGGGAGTTGGGTCTCTCGGGAATCATACTCGGATTAATTGTGTGCAAGAATGCTAAGCTAATAGTTTCACTTAATAAACGATTCAGAAACACGTTCAAATCTACAACGTAAATGCGTATGACCGCATTACGTTGGTTGGTCATGATAGCACACGGCTATTGTAACCGCAGACTTACTACATGCTTTAAATAGTCTACGTGCATTTAAGTCATCACAAATGAAAGCTGTCACCTGCCCTGTTGCACAGCTAGCTTAAGCACTCGGCTAACGTGGCAGCCAGATGGTTTTACCTTACCTTGGCACGAAAACTGTGACAGTCCGTCTGATGAACCCAAACAGCAAACCATCTACTAATTAATTAATTGTACTACATGTATTTATTAAGTTTTCACATGTTCAAATTAATATATAAATTAGTCAAAGACAGCCGGTTACTGTAGTGGTTCTTTTTGACATAAACCCCTCTGCTCTCACCGGATCATCACACTGGCTTTATTAGGCCACGCCCCGATGACGTAGCCATGGTGTCGGGTCTGGCACGTGATCTTTACTTGAGGCGACTTCATGGGAATCTTTCTTTCTTTACTGTACTTAATTACAATTAATTTGAAGATACTTGTACTTTACTTGAGCATTGCCATTTTATGCAACTTTTTACTTCTACTCGTAAATAGTGTACTTTTACTCAATTTATTTAGTACCTTTAGTTACTTTACACATTTGGATTAATAACATGAAATATAATTATCACTTAAATAGGACTAAAGGTACTAGTACCTTTATCACCTTTAGTACCTAGGACTTGAGTTACAACTGGAGTAAATTCACAAGCTACCCTGCGGTATACAAAGTCATTAAAGTTAGCTACACCTATACCAGCTGTGATAACAACATCAATATGTATATATGATGAATTGGAAATGGGGGACCCTGATGTAAACAAGACGAAAGTCTTTCTCTGGTCTGCATCCCCTTAACAATTGTATGTTTTGAGCTGTACTGTACTGTACCCAATATACAAGCTGTTAATAAACTTTTCAATCAATCAATCAATCAATACATCATTAATTATAATCAAAATGTATGATATATATTATTCTGAAATTGACCAATTTGCATAATAAGTACTTTTGGTACTTTAAGTATATTTTGATGCTCATACTTTAGTACTTTTACTTGAGTAATTTTTTGAATGCAGGACTTTTACTTGTAACAGAGTATTTTTACACTCTGGTTTTTCTACTCAAGTACAAGATCTGAGTACTTCTCCCACCCCTCTTACAAACTATGAATATTTCTTTCATTCATAACTTTCAAACAAAAAATGCCATGACTTCTGGACAGTCACCAGAGTTGCACACAACAGTTGAGCATACAACTTGATTTGGTCTGCATAGGCCTATAAACAAAATAAGAGCATTTCAGTTCTAAAAAAAGGAAATATATATAACTATTTTCAAGGGTATTTTAAAATTATTAATTTAAGTACAAAACATGTTTACAATAAGTAAGCAATTGAAGGGCTTTACTCTGATATTTAAAAATGTGCAGTATATCAGAATGTATAGGAATATGTAACTGCAGAATTAATGATTATTTCACTTTCTAAAACAATTAGATGCTGTAGTGTAGTCGAAGAAAAGGAATGAATGTTATTATGGTTTGTCCCCTAAAAAGATATGTGTCCAACCCTCGACTCATCAGTTGTCAACTAAACATTATATTTCCAAATGCAGAATAGCTTGGTTTCAGGCCTCTCCATTGTAGCTCACATTACCCATAAACCTAATGACAATTACATTTGATGATCAGGTTAGCACCGTGACATTCAATACACCCTTTAGCAGGCATCAATGTTTCATAGACTTTTTCTTCACGATCTAGAATGTCAGTGTTTTGTGTGTGCACAACATCATAGCCATACAACATTATTGTGTCTTATTATTTATAAGAGTTTAATTTTTGGATGGTAAGCTGTACCCTTCTTTGGAAAGTGAAGTCTACCAGAGAAGGAGTGCCTTTCTATCCCCGTCAGCCATAGTGCAGAGGCAGGTGAGCAGAACCAGCAGGTCCCTCTTAAGCTCTCTTGGTGCTTTGGTCATTATCAGTTTCATCAGAAAATTGGCATTATTGTAGTCAGTTGCCTGGTCGCTGCTTTCACCCGGCCTCTCCTTCAGGATCCCATAGTGGTTGACAATAAATTCAGTGAAGGAAGGGTGAAGTTCTGTTTTATACCCGACCTTGTTCAACTTCTTCATGAGGTCAGCGTGCCTCTGAATGAGATGCAGCTGATAGCCCTCATCTACCTTTCCTGTCAGTGGGTGTGTTGATACCTGCAAGACAAGAAGAAGAGCCTTGACTTCCTTCTGATTCATATAAGTGGAATGTTACGGTTGTTCAGATTTGATGGCTTATCTGTGAACTCTACAACCAGTTGTTTTGATAGATACACAAATAGAAGTCTTCTATTCTGACCTCTTTTATTTTCCCTGGGATATTGAGCAGTGTGAAACCATAAAGCCTCTTGTGGCCCTGAAAGATGTGGGACAGAATTCTCCTATCCAGTTGGTAGGCAACCTCTCCCATCACCCTGTCTGGACCTGCGATCAAATAATTGACATAATTGTTTTTGTTTTTTAAATGCGTGCAACTGAGCAGTTGCTTTCAAATGTCTGCATGCTAGTCATCCCTCACCTTTGACTTCAATATGAGATTCAGCCTGGGAGCTTTGAAACTCTGCTCTGTCACTTACAGCTGTATGCACCGAGCTTTGGATGAAAGACGAGAAGTCGACAGGGGACGATGTTCGCTTGAATTTGGGTTGTTGGATGTCTTTTTTGAATTGTCTCTCGTCCACGGTGTTTTGACACAGACTGGTTGCTTGTCTTACTGATGTTGAGCAAACTGATGGAAACAAAGTGGTTTGTTGTTATTGTCATTTATCATTTATTACAAGATTTGATGCTGTAAAGAAATAAAACATGAAATGCTTCTACCTAAATGAACTTTAATTGTCCCTTACACTTTCTTGTTGTCGATATAGTTTTTGATTCTGATTTAGTTAATATATATATTTTTTTTAATTGACATTTGAATTGAAGTTGTTGATTTCTATTTGCTGCTTTATACATTATATTCTCTTAAAGATTATAATATTATTAACAACATCTAAAGAAACATACCTCTCAGTTTGAGTACAGCATTCTAAATGTAACCAAATAACAGATTTATTTACATATTCATTCCTGGATTTGGACTTTATCCTAATGCCAATGAAAATGTATTGATATATCGTTTTCAAATCTACAGCTAAGGGATAGATACATTGCTTAATTTGAATTAAAATGTCAGCTGTTTGGTTTGAAATATCTCGTTACAAAGTAACATTATTAAATATCTAAGAACAAGTCAATTTATGCTGTTAAGACAATATATTTGGAATTTCATAGCTAAGAAAACAATCAGGGCAGTTATGTTACTTGCTGTTAAAACATTCTGAAAGAAGAATATTTATTTTACACCCTGAAAATATTGCATGAGTTTCAAAAAATGTTTTGCCTTTACTGTGGCACAGCCATAGGTAACTATAACTGCTTTGAAAACAAAGGCAATCTGAAGTGACCATAGCTGCTTAAGGTTAACAATTGTTATCAATTATATTCTTATAATTGTGCCATTACCTCGAAGCTTAAACGGCTACCTGACTGCCATCTAGTGGCAGAGACAAAAACACTTCAAATACCTGTTATATCTTCCAGAGTGTCAGTGTTGGAGCTCTGCATCTTGGATCTCAATTCTACATTTTCCTTGACTAAACCTAACATAGACTTCAACAGATGGTTTTCCTGCCCGAGCTGTTCATTTTTTGACAGCAAAACAGCAACAGTTTGCTCCAGGTCCATTGTGGGGCTCCCAGGTTCACAAATGAGCCACAGAACAACCCAAGACTTCCTGGATTTCAAATTCTTTCAGATATCAAATCACAACAGAACTGTGTTCTCTGATGAGATTATGCCAGGATTCTTTCATACCATAACACAACAACAGAGATAAGGTTTATAAAATAACTTTATACATAGCATTGCAGGTCATTCTTAGTTTCACAAAAACCCAGGGTCTGATGACTTACATTATCTAAATATTTAATCTTCAGCAGCTTTTACTCAGTTGCCATGGTGATGCATCTATTGACATGCAAGTTAAGCAACTGGTATGTTTTCATACAATCCCTTTTTTTTATAGCTTTTTTTAAGCTGCTGGCTTACACAGGTACATTTAACCCTGGAAAAGTTTATTCAATAAATAATCACAACTCAAAGTCCACTTCACTATCTTTTTCCAAAGTGTTAACCTCATAACAAGATCTTTATTAAACTACTTCTGCTGATGAAGGCTGTGTGATGTCTAGAGCCAAATATGTATACCGTTTGATTTTATTTTACATATCATTTTCTAAATCATATTCAATTTTTATACAACACACTCAATAGCTCATAAAGTGTTAATGAACCCCCAAACTACAGCAGAGACAATCTATATATTAAAAAATAAAAAAAACGTTTACATTGGGTGAAGCAAAACATTTTCAAACTATGTGATCAAAGTACACTACAAGACAAAATTAAAATCAGGATATAGGTAAAGCACTGCTAGACACAAACTCAAAGCGATTTTCAGCAGAATTTTAAACTGTTGTTGGTCCAGCTCAGCTTCCCCTTGCTCTTCCAATGATAGCAAGAATATACAGGAAGATGTTGATGATGTCCATGTACAGGTTGAGAGCAGCAAAGATATATTCCTCTGGACTCAGGGACAATTCCTTGTTGCCCAGCAGCAGCTGTGTGTCCACCGCCAGGAACTGTAACATAGAATATATTCACAATGGGTTTACTACACATTTTGTGTAATGTTAAAAAGCAGTATTTTAAATATCTACTTGTGTGAGTGTTTGATCACCAAAATCAGGTTCTCATAAATGTTTGAGACATTGCTAGCCATTTTTAGACCGTTTAGTTAGAACAAGAATACTGAATGCTACCAAATGGTGAAAATAGGCATAGAACACTCAAGATTCTTTGTCAAAACGTGTTATGAACATCAGATCCTTTGCCTTTAATCTAAGACTACACTATTAAGTTTATTTAAAAAAAAAAAAAAGGAGAAATAGTACAAAAATAGGACTTACACAGGTGAAGAGCAAAGCTCCCAGTCCAGCATACACAATCTGTAAAATCCTGTTTTGAATGAAGATGCAGAGGATGCCGAAGATCAACAGGACAATTAAGCAGACGAAAAGCACCCCGTAACAGGAAGTGAAGTCGTACTTGGTCTGTGGGAAGAGGCCATGAGACATTAGGGTTACATCACACATTAAGGCTGTTACAAATCACATGCCTACAAAGGGCATGGACTGACCTGCATGGAGAAGATGACCACAGTGAAGCACACGACGGCTGTGATGCCCACTGCCATGATGACTGCATCGGTTTCATGGAAGCTTGCGATCATTCCCACCATGTAGGACATGCTGAGAGTCAGGACAGACTGGAGGCAAGAAACAGAAACACATCAGCAAGTTTCAGGACACTAATAGGAAGTTGCAAATCCTTTTGCGGTTACTAATCAGTGATTTTGAAAGCTCTCTTAAATGTAATCTGTCTAATATGTTAGGAATAGGGAAGTCTGATATCCTAAATGTATGCTGAACACTTCATTAATACAAAATGTTTGTCTAATCTTTTTTACTATACCACATAAAAAATACTTTGACGTTTGTTTAAAACATTTAATTTAAGAAAGCACAGTAGAAAAAGGTTTTTCCAAGACAAGTTGTATAATTCAATTGTCAAGATAAAATCTGAGCAGGCTTACTAATGCAACCAGGTTCCAAGGATGTCTTCGGCGAACGCTTCCACAGCAGCTGATCACACACAGCGACACAAAGAATATGACATAGGACACAAGGTAGGTCCAGGTGTTCACCATGACAAACACCTTGACTTCCTTCACAAAAGTGAAAACAGCCACAAAGGCGAACGTCACCGTCAGCTGAGCAGTCAACACCAAGAACACCTGAAGAGAAGAGTGGATTATTAGACAGCAGACACAGATCCTATTTCTTACAAAGGTTGTCTATTGTTTTTTTGAAGATGGATCTCATGTTGTACCAAAGAACATGGTTCAATCTACAACAGAGTTTATGTTTTAGGTTGTGTTTGTGAGTCAGCAAGATATGTGAAATGTTGTGGAAAGTATGGCAAGACAGCAGGAAATATGTATTTTATATTATTTTAACATTAAACGATTGTGCTTTACTTTACATAGAAGCATCTAGTGTTTGTTTATCGCAAAATGCATTTTTTTATGTAAATCCATATAAAGATGCAGATAAATAAATCTCTAAATGATGCAGCTTCAAGACATGCTGGCTGTTGTTGACAAATCAAATGACAATGAAAAGGCACTTCAACGCAGGCTTCAAATTCAAAAACTAAATTCTTTAACCTTTTTTTGACCACAAGATCTGCTTACCTTTCGAATGAAGGCTCGTCTTATGCTCTTGTTATCTAATCCAAAATCAAATTCTTGATTCTCATGAAAGGGTGGTGGCTCTTCCTCGCTATGGTAAGCATTATCTGCATTAGCACCAAATAGAAACATGACATGTGACACAACGAATGTAACAACATCAATATAAAGAATGCACCAATGTAAGACATACTAACCATTGAAGTCTCCATTAGACCCTGGGCCTGGAGGAGAATATGGTGAGGGTTTGCCTCCATATCCTGGACCGTCTTGGGGTTTCATTCCAAAAGCTCCAGGAACACCTGGCCCGAAAGCAGTCGGTGGGGGGAAAGGGAGACCACCGGGAGCAGGGAAACCCCCAGAAGCAGGGAAACCATCAGCAGCAGGAACACCACCAGGAGCATTGAACCCACCAGAAGCAAGGAAACCACCAGGAGCATTGAACCCACCAGGAGCATTGAACCCACCAGAAGCAAGGAAACCACCAGGAGCATTGAACCCACCAGGAGCATTGAACCCACCAGGGGCATTGAAACCACCAGGAGCATTGAAACCACCAGGAGCATCGAACCCACCAGGAGCATTGAAACCACCAGGAGCATTGAAACCACCAGGAGCATTGAACCCACCAGCAGCAGGAACACCACCAGAGCCGTGAAAATCACCAGGAGAAGGCCCAAGGAACCCAGTAGGAGCAGGGAAACCACCCCCATGGGCAGGGGCTCCGAACATGTTTTGGCCCGGTATATTCATGTCAAATCCAGCAGGGAACGCTGGCTGGCCGGGAAGCGAGGGCGGAGAAGGCATCCCCCCCACCGGAGCGTATGCAGTCTTCTCGCTGCTCATCTCTGGCTTGGATCGGGAGCACAGACCCGCTGGAGAAGCCAAATGAGAGGTTATCAGGGTGAAAGTAAATAACACCGTTTTAAATAATGACAGACCTTGACAGTCGCCCTGAGACGAATCCACGGTGATTCACTTCCGGTATATCATAATTAATAACAAGGATGCTACCGTGTCTGATGCTAACCGTCGATCGACCACTTCATAAAAAAAGAATAATATAAACATAGTGTGGTTTTTAACAACTAGTGTGAGGGTTAAACAAGGGTTGGGGCTCTGCTTTTATAACGTAATCAATTCCTTTTCGTTTTCAACAGACACTCTCGATTCCGTAAATGTCACGTTGCTAGGCCCTAAAATTCGTTTAGATGCAAGAAAATGCCATAGGCCTACAAGCAATATGCTATTCGAGTTAAATATAACGCACAGATATAAATAATATTCTGATTGGGAAAAAAACGACTCCACATCCTCAGTAAAACCGAAGAACACAAGATGGCCATGTTTTTTGCACCAAACAATAACGTAAACTGATATGGTTGAACAACTGAAAGGCAACACAAACCAACAAAAAAAATCAGGACAGATTAAGTATATCAAAACTACTCACAATGCCTGCGATCAAAGTGTCAATCCCAGTTGGGCTCCCCCAAAATTATTTGAGTGTTTTTCCGAAGGTTCTGCACCACTTTTTCGGTCACTGCCAGTAAACTGCTGTTACCTCTCCGCCCCCAGGATGCGGAATGTTGCGTTCAGGACAAATGAAATTGTTGGTAGAAATGACTTTGTGTGACACCAGCAATAAAATCTTTCATTTATTCTGAAGAAAACTCACGCTTGTTTGACAGAGGTAGACGTTTGAAAAATATTGTGCACTAAAGATATACTATGGTTTCAACTGTATTTAGTTAAATAAAGTAAACGGCTTTTTTTGCTGACGTTAGACAGCACTATTTGCGTGGTTTTCAGGCAATTACGTATTATTTCGGGACTTACATCGGAGCTTGCAGTTGTATTTGGGGCTTTGCTATTGACGCTTTTAGAAATCGGACGCTTAAGTTGCAAAAGCTCCGATACTACCTGAATGTGGCATGAAACCATGTTCGACTCATTGAACGACTACCAAAATGGAAATGAGTCGATAACAGATTTAATAAAAACGAAAGTGAATGGAAAATACCTTTGAAATACCTTTATCTGTAAACATTAGCAAAGAGTTCAGGCAGTAGTATGCTTTTAGCCCTACTAAATTAGTTTAATACAAATGTTGAGATTATTTTACTTAGTATTTGCAATTTATTTAACGTTATGGATGGATTACTATGGCACTTTCGAGAGGATTATTTAGCATGTACTTTATTACAGTTTAGTTTGTTTGTTGCAAATTAACATTATTTATACAAAAAAATTGAAATGTAGATTAGCCCTACTGTTGTTGGCTGCAACATTAATGTAAACAATTAGACAATAAGACATAGGCCTCAAACGTTTTGTTTCTTTCGTTTTTTTTCTACATTGTAGATTTATACAGAAGACATCAAAACTATAAAACAACACATGGAATTATCTAGTAAACAAAAAAGTGTTAACAAATCCAGAATATGATTTATATGTTGCTGGCTACTGGAGAATGCTGTGGTAGCCATGCTGGTTAAGTGTGCCTTGAATTCTGAATAAATCACCAACAGTGTCACCAGAAAAAAAGAAAAAAAAATCCTTGTGTTTCTTGGCCCAAATATTCTCTTCTTCTTTTTGTTCATCCTCAGTAGTGGCTTCTTTGCAGCAATTGGACCACGAAGGCCTGATTCCCGCAGACTCATCTGAACAGTGGATGTTGAGATTTGTCAGCTACTAGAGCTCTGTGATCATTTATGTGGGCTCTAATCTGGGATGCTTTCATTTTCAGTTTCTGAGGCTGGTAACTCTTGTGTATTCATCCTCTGCAGCAGAGGTAACTCTTGCTCTTCCTTTCCCGGGGGGGTCTTCATGAGAGCCAGTTTCATCATAGCGTTTGATGGTTTTTGCGACTGCACTTGAGGATACATTCAAAGTTCTTGACATTTTCCGGATCGACTGCATGGCCTTCATTTCTTAAAGTGATGATGGACGGTCGTTTCTCTTCACTGAGCTCAGTCGTCCTTGCCATAATATGGATTACAACAGTAGTCAAATAGGGCTATCCACTGTGCACTAACCCTACCTCTGCACAACACAACTGATGGTCTCAAACACATTAAGAAGGTAATGGAAGTAATTCCACAAATGGACTCTTAACAAGGCACACGTGTTAATTGAAATCCATTCCAGGTGACAAACTCATGAAGCTGACTGAGAGAAGCCAAGAGTGTGCAAAGCTGTCAAGGCAAAAGGGGGCTGCTCTGAATAATCTAAAATATAAATCATATTATGGATTTTTTTACACTTTTTTGTTAACAAGATAATTCCATATGTGTTATTTCATAGTTTTGATGTCTTCAGTATTAATGTTCAAAGTAGAACACAATTCAAATAAACAAAAACCATTGAATGAGAAGGGCCGTGTTAACCAGCAGGGGTCAGGAGGCAACTGTCTTGGTTGAATAACCAGAGAGGGCAACCAGGGAGACTTACAAAACAGTATTTATTATATCTGTCGAGTCTTGGCCCCTTCAGCTGCCTGGCTCTGTCAAACTCCAGGTCACATCACACATATTTTACAGTTTTACAAACACATTAGTTGTTGTGACTGTCATGTAGGATTGTAAACAGGTTAACTCAACAGGGAATGGACTGTACAATATGTCCCTTTCAGTTATTGGGGTCTGCTTAACTACAGAAAATATAATATTGCAATGAAATAAATCAATCAATGCTTTTCCTAATTTGTACAGAAATATTGAAAACATATCCCAGGGTATTTTGAGGTTTTGGATTTATTTGATGTGATGAGCGTGAGGAAATCTGGCAAACAGCTTCTTTCAATTAATAGCTGCATGTTGAAAGAGGGACTTCACCTACTATTTTGGAGACATAGCAGGCTGGATTCATGTTACCAAAACATCTAAGTTGGTTTAATATGTAAACAGAGGCAAGTATCAAACTAAGCAGCAGTGTCTCAAGTGTAGACTAATAGCCTACAAATGTGTGATCCCTCATTAGTTAGTGACAGAGGTCTCCAGTGATGCATGTTTGCCACTTAGGTTTCCACCTTGGAATAAGTGACAGAATTAGACTCTTTCTGCTGAGAGACGTTATTAAAAGTCAAACAGATTATATCAAAGTTAAATATTAGCTATATGGTTAAAAAAGAATACAGTTTTGACTTCTTTTTAACTGAGACCAGCGTGTGGCAGGATTTCATGAATCAAATGAAAAACTATGCCCAAAACAGACATTAAACAAAATACAGAAGACTTAAAACATTGAAGGGAATTTTTCTTTTATTTCACATATGTTTGCATTATCTTTTAGTCATGCCTTACAAAAAAGCAAGGTGAAACTGATGATGTCCTTGCATAAGTAAACATTCAATGTCAAACAACATCAAATGTAAACATTTAACAGTTCTCACACCTTATTCAAATTGGTCAAGTATAAAAGTGACATTAAAGAATTAAGAATCAATTTGAGAAAACATTGAATCTACAGAAAACAGAAAATGCGTTGGACTTATTGCTACCTTTCCGCTCCTCTTTTGTTCTTTATACACAGTGTATTGCTTTTTAAGCCAAGTTTAAACACCCATCACATGCTCTTTAATACTATGAGGAAGCATATGTGGAATTGTTCTAGGCTTTATACTTAAACACAAGATAAAGGGTTTATTACTGTAAGGCTCCATAATAAATACATAAATAGCATAATTTAAAAAAGGCACATTATGAAACATTTTGTCAAAATGAAAAATTCACATTCAACAAGTGTTTCTTCCCTTTTGCAAAATGTACTGGAGGTGCAATTTAAAAGGAAGAAAAGTGAGTGCCTTCAGCTGTCACTTCAGTATATTGTCTTATGAACATCAAAACAAATACATTTATAGGGAACTAGTAGACAGTATCTAATCTATCTCACGCCAAACAGTTATAAAAAAAGACGACAATCTTAACCTCTATATCAATGTTTGCATAGCTTTTTCCAAACAAAATACAGGTCCAAAACTTTGAAATACTGAAACCTGCATAATGACATACTGTTTTCATATGCATGCAAGTGTTTTGGTTGGGTTAGTGTTTTGGTTTTCAAAGAAGTGGGGAAAAAACCTGGTCATAAGACGTGAATGCACTTGGAACTTTTATACAAATTCCAGTGCATTATATGTATATATATACAATTCAGCGATGGATGACATGAGGTCCAGTGAGTTTACTTCAATTAATATTAAATACTTTCCTGCTGAATAAATATTAAATATTTATACTCAATAGTGCCAAAATTATGATCTCACTTGAATAAAAAATATAGTTAATCTTCCTTTCGCTCCACATTTTTGGTGATTTCTTCAGGCTCTTTGGTTTAAGGACTGCCAAGTTAAAACCAGGGTGTGACAACCATCATAACAGTGCCTTCATCATGGGATGATTTGACCTCCCCTTCTTTCCTGCTTAAAGTTAGTTTTCATGGTTTTACTGCATGCGATCTGTCTGGAGCTGCTGAGGTTGGTACTGGCTGAAGGCGGCAGCAGCGGCGGCAGCTCCCGGGGTGGCAGAACCGGAGAGTGGCTGCTGGACAGCGTATCCGTACCCTGCTGCAGTCATGTAGCTTGTTGGTGCTGGTGAGGCAGCATAAGGATACTGCTCATAGGCAGCAGCAGCTGCAGCAGCGGTGGCAGCCGCAGAGTACTGGGCATACGCTGCTCCAGTATAGTCAAGGTATGGGGAAGTGGCAGCAGCAGCTGTTGCTGTAGCAGCAGAAGGTTGTACATGAGGGATCATCATGCTGGGCTGGACAAAGGCCTGAGGGTAGACATAGTGTGCAGGGACACTGTAGGACAAAAAAGACACACAGGGTTAAAGTAGAGCCACAGCCATTCATCTTTTCAAAGCTGAAACTAAATTCTTGAAAATGTCAAAGCAGGTGCCTCAAAAAAAATCAATCCAGTCTTCAGAACACAGCAAATCCATTCATTAACAATGAAACCCCTACCTAGAAATGAAAAGTTAAAGAAGCAGCAACACCACAAAGAAACACAAGCGCAGCTTTTAATTTAGAAAGGCACCTGAATCTGAAACACAGTAAGGCATTTAAAGAAGACAGCCCAGCTCGGCACCCAATGTTTCACTGAAAACAGAATTTAAAACAAAATGCGAGCTCATCTCACAACACCAAAACATATCAGGAAGAGAAATGGACATTGTTCTGTCCACATAAGGACACACCAACACCACACATACAGGCATGCCCACACATGTTAATAGGTCCTAAAACACAAACAAATAGGGCAAGGATTGGATTTCTTAAAAAGTGCAATAAATCGCAAAGTAGTAATTGAAATAATCATACAGTATGGTATCTTAACAAGTGGGTGTTTGGTTTTAACAGGATCGGCAGAGAAATCAATTCATTTTAATATTTTAAAAAGAGAAAATAGTTGAGGAGTAGATACATAGTGTTTCCATTGGAATATAGATGTTCTTTATATACACCAGAGTATAAATGGATAGATACAAGCCTGGGTATCTGGCTACATCTGGTCCCACTTTTAACTGTGTGTTAAAGTCACCCTCAGAAAATATATTGAGTAGCAGCAGGTGTGAAACTGTTATATCTTGCCATAGAGAAGTGTCCCCTCCCCCTCTTACAGACACACACCCCCACACAAACATACACACGCCAACTTGACTGACAAGGGAGGCTGGGAGCATGCTATTTTTGCTCCCCTTGTCATCTCCAAAGGGCAAGCTGATCTTCTCCTTCAGTAACACATGGCAGGGCATTCGCCAACTGCAATGGCCGCTTGTGCCGCTCTACTGCCCCAGTGGTTTTTGTAAATGTATGTTTTTATTATCAGACTGGAGGTGTCCTGGCAAACAGTAGCTAACGGTTTTGTATCTGTAGTACAGTTAAAGAAAATGTATGAATCCTTTGTTTTAAATGTCACAAATGTAATTACATGTGTAATTTACAATTGGGAACCAACATACTTGTACCTTTTTTGTGATATGACCTTGTCTTAAAAACTATTTTAGTGCTAAAAGGGCACAGCTGACTTAAGCCATCTCCAATGGAAGAAAAGGGGGGAACATTTTGTGGTCCTGCCTGCCGAGAGCTAAATAAAGGTGCTTTGTAAACCACCAGGACACATGGGTAATCCCCAGCACATAACCAAAAGGCTATGGGCACATGGCTCGGCCCACCTGTTGTCCACAGCCGAGTGGCCCTGTCTGTGCCATACATTATTAACAGCGCTGCTGAGTGACTCCCATTTTCCATCTGAATTCGAGAGGCCGTGGAGATCACTGTAGCCAACAGCTGCTGCCTCAGAGACCAAGTAAGATCTCTGTCTACAACCTATAGTGCAGTAAACATGTATACTTATTTATGTATGTATGTGTATATATATATATATATATATATATTATTATTATATATATATATATATGTATATATATGTATATATATATATATGTATATATATATACAAATAGTTTCATATAGGCAGCGATCTAGCTTTTGTTTAAAGCCTTTATATTTTCAGTCAACTTAATTGAAGCTTTTGCTGTTAAAGGCAGTTAAATATCCAATTCTTTAATGTGGTGATAACACTATTTGTGTTTGATTTCCCCTGAACATTTTAAATTGAAATATAAAAATACAAAAGAATGTGAGTAGGTTGAGTGTACCTGTAGATGTAAGCTACAAGTGAAACGCAAGGGGTTAATATTAAAAAAAACAAAAAGAACACAGCATCATGGGTAAGAAAACAGAAAAAAAACTCCTGCATGCAAGCCAGTGTGTTTTGTTGTGGGGAATCAATTTTGAAATTAACTGGGTGATCAACAGCCCGTTTTTGACAACAAAACACGATCATCTTAATGTTAACGAGAAACTGGGGAAAACAATAAACCGCAGGCTAAAGCACAAATCAATTATTAAAAAGGTAGAAGAATCAACACCCCGTTGCAGAGTTACAACTCCCTATCAAAACTCACAAAGTGTGCACAAAAACCTCCTATACCCCCCGCCTCCCCCACTGCAAATAGAAATAAGCACACAGTTAAGCTGAACACCACATCATACTGAAAACAAGGCACACACCAATCTATTTACTATGGAAAACCGGGAGAAAAAACAGAAGACTTCCATGCATCTAGTCACCATTTCAGTTCGTTTGTGTATGTCAGAGTTTACAGGTAACACTTTAGTGCTCTGCCCAATGCAGACTCAGCTATTCCTCAAATCATCATGTGCCTTCATCAGCTATTTTAACCGTTACCGACCCTGTCAGATCAGAAAGAGATAGACAACGTGAAGTCAAGTCCTGCAGTGGCTTTAGTGAAAAATGTTCACTTCCTTCACAGTCAACGCCAAGCAGGAGAGCACACATCCACACTCACATGTCCTCATTCAGGATTTAAGTGGAGGCAATGATAAATGACACTTTTACAACAATAAAAACACATTATACAAGACCATACAAGATTTCTTTTTTTTTTTTTTTTAAATGGAACAACACACCTTGTGAAAAAAAAAGTAATTTCTGCAGCTTCACATACCCGTAAGGCCTTTGGATGAATGCTGGATGGATCTGAGGCATACCAAATGCAAATCCTAGAATGAAAACAGACACTTTAGTTTATTCTGCTGACACTTTTGTAATGTAGTGGAGGTGATATTGTAGTGTGTTATCTTTTGAAAAAAATTCAAGATAAAAAAACAACCGAGTATGGAGCAGTCTACAAAGTACTTTAAAGTTCCTGTATGTGAGTGTGTAAAGATATTTGGGCTGCTGTCTTTGTATGCCACCTTGATCGTCTTGAAGTTGGGAAATAAAGCTGTGGTCCAGTCCCTCACCTGGCTGTATGACCCTGGGCTTGGCCCCCAGGTAGGCCAGGTTCACATTAGCCTTCCTGCCATCAATTATGGGGTTGGGGTCCTTGCAAGCTCGGTCAGCAGAGGTCCGGTCTGCCATGGTCACCTGAATGAAACAGCACATTTTCCATTGATATCATGGACATGTATCACTCAACAGTTTGGTCACGGTGACTAAAAAGTAGCCACCAATTAGGCCTCATTTGTTGTTAAGGTACATTTTTTAAGTAGTCAGCTACATTTGACCAAAATGTGACTTATCTGATAGAGTAAGAGTAAAAAATGACCTATTTCCAACCTGGCTGTCACACAGAACAGGAAACAGTCTTTGAGGTCCCGATACTGAATCAATTAAAAATGAAAACTTTAAAACATGGCAACTCAGAAGTAGCGACAGGTTGTTACTTACAAATCCATAACCTCTGGATTTCCCCGTCTGTCGATCGGTGATGACCACAGCTTCCTCGATGTCTCCAAATACCTCGAAATACTTCCTTAGACTTGTATCCGTTGTGTGATAAGGAAGACCTCCCACAAAGATCTTTGTGTAAGTGGTGTCTTTCTGAGCCGAATGCATCATTTTAAGATGTGTGTGTAAGCGTTTAGCTAGAAGTTGTAAGGTAAACTAAAGAGCAGCGTTCAGATCGGTAGAGGGAAAGAGTCTGAAGCCCCCCGGTGAAATGACGGTGGGTCTGGAGAGGAGAGGACACCTGTTAGTTTGCTGCGGGAGGTTTCCCAGTTGTCAGTGTGTGTGACACAGATACTTAACTCCACCCCCAGCCAGACCACCAGCTTGAGCTCTGCCTGCCTACAGGTCCACAGCTGCTAAAACAGTGGCAAGGACACACTGTGCCAAATAGGTTAAGACAAATCACCCTAATTCTCCTAATAAACTTGGTCCTAATCACAGAGAAAAATATGTAATAAGTCAAGTTTGAGAATGACTTTTAAACTAAAACCATGTCTTCTTTAGAAAAGCTATTACATTCAAGTTTTACATCTCTTTCAGGACTGAATCTGTCCCCTTGAAAAGTTTGACAATGTGCTACAAAGTTTTTACCCCAACTTTTGATTATAGTTCTGCTCGTTCTTATGTTTTGATCTGAAGTGGAAAAAATATAGAATAAACATAGTGTACAAAATACTGAAATAGGCCTTTTAAATATTAATGTCATTATTAGTTCAATAAAGTCTACACACATAACTAACACCTAGTTAATAAAGCCATCAAATGCCCCAAAAACACCAATGACTGCAGTGTCCTCAACAAGGCCACATATTGCAAGTATGATACTAGTCCAATAGACTACTGTGTGAAGTATAATATTGCTATTTCCCCCCCTTTAAACTGTTTAAATTCAGGATTTATTAACAAACCAGCAAACGTAAACCCCTAGCTCCGTATTTATAAATAAATTACATATTCACAGCAGTATCTGTAGCCTAGATGTTGCTATTGATCAAGTTGTTGCCACCCAACACACATGAATTATAATTTTTTTAACGTAGCATTTTTTGAAAAATAAATCATCAGTTGACCCCATGGGGGCGCTATATTTAAATTTACTCAAATTTGGCACCAATGGACTGAGACAGCCGGGGAGCAGTCTCTGATTCGCCCCACATATGCTTAGTTGCATCATTTAGTTGACAACATGTTTACCAGTCATACATCTGCCAGTGACATCAAGTATAATGTCCCCACATTGAGAAGCTAGAAGTGGAACAAACATTAGTGTTGATATCTCATCCAATAGATGAAGTTAAGAATCACCCCCTCCTGTGGTGTTAATATTGTGTTCTTATAACAGATTGTGTTTTACAAGAAAATGTGCCATGCAATGGGATGTGTGTTGCTTTGCCAGAATCTAAGGTAGGATCATTTTGGCTACATAATTCAAAATATTAGTTTTTCGAGAAGGTACAATTAAATAAACAACTTTCAGTGAAATATACAATCATTGCAGATCTATTCATTTTTTCTGAAAACTTTAAATATGGACTTATTATTAAGTCCCATGAGGGCATAGTGTATTTTTTATGGATTCTCTTAAGCTGCACTATCACACCAAACGTATCTAAAATAAGAACCTCTGAGCAAGAAAAGTTAAACTAGAGTAGATTTTAAATTATTGCATTTAGATTTAGACTGAGTATACATGTATTGGAAACACGTTTGTCAGTGTGACAGAAAAAACTAAAAATAGTGAAACATGCAAACATTGGACCAAATGAAGAGTCAACACAGTAAATTGATTGCAAATGTTCTATTCTAGAACATTTTGTACCAATTAAAACAGTTTGCGATACATTATAAATACAATTCTGTACATTATAATAGTGTAAATACTATGTTCAAATACATTTCTATTTACAACTCCTTTCGGGGGAGAGCAGCTTTGTTCTCTTCTTAAAGTAAGGTCTTGGGTTTGTTTGATTTACTTGACATTACAGCTTGGATATATAAACTATTTCTAGTCAGTTCCAAAGTCCACCAATTTCATAAAAATAAGGTCAGCTCTTCTTTATAACTAAACTATTTTTAACTGTCCATTACCCATTCATCCAATCGTCCATGTGAAATAAAAGCATTATTTAGTACCTTTCTACATGTAGTGTTATATAACAGTCAGTTAACATATAAAATGCAGATAGGCAATCAGTTAAAAAGGTCTTCAGTCAGTCAGCAAGGCTGGGTGGCATTTTGAAAGCCTCTGGGCATTTTAGGATATACATACACAGGTTTCGGGTCCATACAGATAGTTTGTTTAAAACTCAGTGAACATGTAACAGAGTTCATTGAGCAGTCAGGGGTTTATGTGCCTGCCTTTATGGAAACAGGGCATTAAGGCATCAGTACATCCAGGCCTTGGCTCCCCGGATTAAAGTGATCACACAGGGTTTTTTCTCTCTTCGGATAGAAAATACCTCATCAGTCCGATATGGAAGACAGTCAGCAAACTCTCCAAGAATCCTTTCCAGTGCAAGCTTTCAAACAGCATCAGTCCCATGCTGGATGGGGATTATTTCCACCACAGTGTTAACAGTACTTCAACAGGATCATTCAACATGATCATTCAACATGATCTGCAGTCAGTTTTAGCAGATTCGTCCTCTGTTCAGGGCATGTGGCATTACTCCTAGAGATATGGCACTAAGCTTAACTTGGACACATACCATTTTATAGTGTTTGCCTCCACATACACACGTTAAAAAAACAAAAAGCATATTACTTATAACAGCAGATATGGAACCGTAGTTCTTTGGTTACCCCTGACAGATCATATTGATGTAAATATCAATGTTTAACCAGTAGTACATTCTTTATCCTTATAACCCACATAACTCCAATATGAGCATCAGAGAGGATGCATTGTCTGTCTTACAAAAATATCATAGATAATGTTTAGAAAACAACGTAAGAAAATGCATGTGGGTAATATTTCCACATGGACTCACGGTTAAAGGTTGTTTACTATCAAAAGATATCCATGTATGGAAAACTCATATATGTGCATAGTGAATTTTCAGTGAACAGTATTCTGGATATACCTTCATTAAATGCACAGGTCAGATATGCTTTAGGAAAGCATAGACGTCCACAGATTACATCTCCATCACAAGAAGAGGAGTCGGGCACGGGATATGAAGACCCCCCTCGGCTCCATGCCTTTCCTCAGAGAGATGGTCCTTCTTTGGGTCCTATCTGATCAGAGTCTGGGGCTCTGTGTCCATGGAGGGCGGCCCTCTGTTCAGACGAGATGGCTTCACAAACACACCGTGACCCAGGGGGCAGCGGAAGTACACCCTGCCCTGGACAGTCCCGTTGTGTTTACCTAAAATGAGGATCAATAAACACAGATATGTAGCATTATTGTGGATCACCTGTACTTTCAAACCTTAATACTATGTAACATATGAACCTCTTATACACAAGGGTAACAGCTTTGAGGCTGATGATACCTATGAAATTCCCAGATTGGGATGCCAGGATATAGTTAAAATAATTATACTTTTTTGTACAGTAATGTATGGGGAATGAAAATGTGATATTGTGGCAGTCCTAGCCCACAGCCGTTTATTTCCATGGCCTCAATCGGTTGAACGTGTAATTCTTTTTATACTTGAGGGTTAAACAAGTCGGATAATATTTGGTCGATACATTGAATTGTTTTTAATTCAAACATAATATAGAAATATATGGGTTTTATGGGGATCACTAAAGTTATTTGCAAATTGATATGAACTGAATGGAATGTAAAAAGACTTCTTGGATGACGAGATTATTTCTAAACTACCTCAATATCTCAAGCTAAAATTGCCTGATAATATGTATTTGTGGGGCTCTCCAAAAAAAAAGTAATGTTTTTTCTGGGCAACATTTTTAAAGGACTCACCCACTGCCATGTCAAGCTTCACACCAATCCAGATCCCCTTAGCAAACTCCACCCCTCCGACGTAGTGGACCATTCCCTTTCTCTTCCCCACCCACACCTGCTCCCCCGGGGCCATCCAGTCAGGGAGCTGAGCTGCGGGGGTGCTCTCGTCCCCGCTGGAGTCCCCTGAGGGCTCTGCGCTGCTGGGGTTGGGACTGGGACAGGGGCTCCCGTGGGGCAGGTCCCCCTGGGCCGGCTCCTCTATTGGAGGTTCTCCTCCTGCTCGCATAGGGGGGGCAGAGCACCGGGGTGTAGATACAGGTGAGAGTGGGGAAGGTGACGCAGGAGTTGGAGCTTTGTCAGGGACAGATACTGGGGCTCTGGCTACATTAACGTTGCCTGTATTATTTGGACATTTGCATGTAGAAGTTGATATGTCTTCGGAAACTGATATATTACTAGAGAAATCAGAGGAGGGTTGACTGCCAGTGTCACATGTTTCTTTATCCACACCCTCCTGCTCCCATCCCTGTGTGAAATGTGCTAAATCACTGTCTACAATACTGTCATCGGCCCCTTTAAAGTCGCTGAACTCCTGGCTGCTACCGAGCACACGGTTGTGAGGCAAAGGGAATGTTAGCCGCTTGTCTTTGCATTGAGGAATACTGACAGGCGAAGAGGCGGGATCCTGATCCCCACCTGTTGAGAGAGGAGGCTGCTGGATGTCACTCCCTGCAGAAACACTTTTGGTTTGGGTACAACCTCTTCCAGTAGGGCAGGCAGGAGGGTCTTGGGGGTCTCTGGAAGTGCCGCTGAGGTGGTCAGAGCTCTCACTGCCACTGAAAGGCATGTCGGACAGCGTAGCGTCGGAGGCACTGTGTGAGAAGTAGCCACTAGTGCAACTGCTGGCTGTGGGGCTTCGAGGCACCTCCCTCTCTCCACTCCCAGCTCCACACCGACTTCCCTTCAACTCGGAGCGGAACGATAGAAACCCCTCCTGGTTCTCCAGAGTTGCATTGTAGATCTCAAAGTTTGCAAAGTCCTCCGGGATGTAAGGTGGGAAGCTGTTGTGGTCCTGAGGGCTCCGATCGAGATTCAGAGACATGTCCACATCCTCGTCCTCAGAGTCCTGCTGATCAAAACAAGAGCAGCAGAAGAAAAAAGACACATCCCACAGGACATGATATTAGCTGTAGCCTGTATGGAGCATATCCTATAAAAACACATTGTTTGAAGTGAAAGAAGACAATGAAAATTAGCGTACAATGTGATAATGGATCATGATTCTTATTTGATGATGTGGCGTTTTCTGTGTTTCCTAAACTTTGATATAACTTCTATTCTTAACTCCTTTACTTACTGTTGGAACTTGTTAACGTGTATCTGTTGCTGAGGAGCTCACATAATAAGTTTAACCCTCAGTGGAAATCTAAGTCTAAGTCAGATACTTACAGCAGTGTTGGTGTGTCATGTAATTGTATCTTAGCGTCTATGTGTGTGTGTTTGTGAGTAAAACTCCTACAGCAACCTTCAGAGCAGTTTGTCCTGGTGTCGGTAGCACTTACAGTGGGAGTGGGGGTGGTGGAGGTGGAGGTGGGGGTGGGGGTGGAAGGCGTGCAGTGGCCCTCGCTGCCTGCCCTGGGCCGGCGCCAGGGGCAGGGAGGGGGGAGCAGTGCAGGGCTGTCCACACATGAGCGCATGCTCTGCAGATGGGTCAAAACAACACTTCACACACACTCACACACAGCATGCATGGAGCTGGGCAGGCCAGTTACACAGTTAGTGCCATGCAGTTTGATATTACACAAAAACACGCTTGCTTGAAGTGTTCTAAAAGGGACCCTTGTTTATATCTTTCACACATTATTATAGCCAGTGGCAAAGCTGATATGTATGTGCGCCCCTTTAGTCGACTTCAGGCAATGATGAAGACAAATATGAAAAGTTAGTTCAAATGTTGGAGCAGCCACAAAATCAGGCATGAGACTTTGTAGCATAGCTTTGTCTAATTTAGTGTTGTGGCTCTCCACAATTCAAGTCATGCTCCTGTGAGTCATGCTCTTTTAGTTTAGAGATATGAACACAGTTGACGGTGCCATCATGTCTATTTTGTCCAAACACAGAACAATAAAGCCATTATCTTTTAAAATCATCAAGCAGCTTGGGACATTTAGTAAATGTTGTCAATGTCAATGTATTTATCATTTTGTGTAAATGTATTTTAATATGAAAAGTGACATGTGAAATGTAAAAATGGGGTTTGACATGTGGTAACACCATGGGAAAAAGAAAGACAAGAATTCTCCTCTCTTGAGAAAAAGTGAATATTTCCTCCTTACCTCCTGTCCCAGCAGGGGCCGGGCCTCCAGGACTTTCTTTGCTTTGTTCTCCTCTTTGACAGGAAGCAGGGACTTGAGGAACTTCGGTGGCTGAGGGGAGAGGGCTTTGAAGGGGCTGGAGTTGAAAAATGTAGGGCTCTCTGGAACAAAACCTGTATGGGGGCAATTTGTGGGCATTCAAATATAATGTAGCAACAAAAACACCTGTAGACAGCTGCTGCATATGTGCTGTTCCTGTAGTGTACCTGGATTCTCCTTGCATTTGATCGGTGTTGTACAAAGCAAGACATCTGGGGGATTGCAGTTGGTGTCCACGTGATCACAGTGGTCCTAGAAAGAAAACACATTTTCCATTGGAGGTGTTGTGAGGTTATTGTAAAGTGGCAGCTAGACTTTTCAAACTCTACAAGCTACGGGGCTCAAGTGGAGACCCCTAGTGTATAAAAGGGAGAAATTCATGAAAAACCTTAAAAAGTAAGATTTTTATTATCAAAAAGGTAACAACAACAAGCAGCATTATCTTAAAGAAAAGCTATGCATTTTGACGAGCATCATTCTAATGCCTAAATCAGGGTTTTGTGATTAACATGCGACTTACCTTACAGTCTTCATCCTCACAACCAGTCAGGTCTGTTTTACTACACGAAGACTGGAGACCAAGAAATAGAGACAAGTGTTATCAGTGTCAGATTATCTAATAACAATTATTTCCATATGGTTCTGAGGGCAGTGCAGTGAGTGATGTATTCATTACATGCTGTACATTTGGTGTGCTGATACTCCTTCTTAGGTGTCTTCCCTTGTTGGTGAGTGCTTCCTTTACTGTTACAGCCTTCAGGGAAAAAAACAGACAGGGTTAGAGTTACTGTAGTTGCATATTTACATGGCTCTAAATCAGATTGTTTGTGTTTCTCTCTGTCAGTATGCTACTGTGTTTCATACCTGTCTTAGCCTCTCCAGACTAAGGATGTTCTCTACTTCCAGAACTCCCCTTGTGTACTTCTCTATGTAGGTTTCTCCATCCTGAGTCTGCTCACTGTCACCACGAGCAGCCATAAGGGCCAAAGTTTCCCTTTCTTCTGGCTCCTCTGAGGCCTGGAAAGAAAGGAGACGTAAGATATAAAGGGGAGATGACAAGTGGTCTGGAAAGCAGCCAGTGTAAGATACTAGAATTAAAAAGTTGTACCTTTGGTACGTTGGAAACAATCTCATAAGTCACACCACAGGCAAATACTGCATTCTTTAAGGACATTCTTCTCTTGAGACTCTGGGTGAAACTCTGTAGAAAAAAAAAAAATGATGTTTGTTCATCAGAACGATCTATTTCTTTAACCACCAACCTCTGCTGTGGGCTGACCCCTGCATAATCCTCTTGTATTAACCTGTTTGTTGTAGATGTTGACAGCGATCCTCTTACGGAGCACCAGCTCCATAGAGGCTGGGTGGCTGAGCTGCACCGTGGCTTTGACGATCAGGTAAATGCGTTCGTTAGGAGAAGTGATGCGGTTGAGATACACAGAGTCATGGATGGATGAGTCCCAGGAACACACTGCCGACACCTGAGTAAGTGGAAGAGATGGTGTTTTAGTGATTACATGTTACTTGTTAGACGCTTTTATCCAAAGCGACTTACATACTCAATACTGTGGACAATCCCCACAGGAGCAATTTGGGGTGAAGTGTCTTGCCCAGGGACACAACGACATGCTGACTGCAGTGGGGTTTGACCCCCTGATCCCCTGATCCGAACACCAGTGCACTAGTCCACTGCGCCACACGCCTCCCAAGTGATGCATCTCTAAAATGGTTTCGAGCAAATCTATGCCAGTTGGATGTGACTGCACACACACAGAGACACAGAAAGCAGTCATGTAGCTTTGGGTTTGCAGCAGTTGGCTAATGAGCAGAAAAATCACTATCTCATGACACTAATGAATTACTTTTCTTTTTTTTAATCTTGTTTCCATACATGAAGTTGTTCAATTACATGACCGTGTAAAAGTTCAATTTTCCACATAACTGTATGGAAAAAGCATGCTGTTATTAAGAACTCTTGTTTGTGTGCAATTATCTGCGAAAAAAGGGACATTTAGCAACCATTGAAGCCTTTGAAAAATCACTTACACCGAAACATATTTACCTACAATATGCAACTGTATTTTTACTTAAAGTGGACCTATCATCCTATATTTGAATAATAAAGTGTAGGACCATACCTATATAAGGGATATTTATACTTTTTAATTTTTCAAAATACCAAACAGATCATGCATTTTANAGCTCTTCAGTAGTGACAAGCAAACAGCAGCATTAGTGAGCAGCAACCTGAGGGGGAGGGCGAGCGAGAGAGAGAGAGAGAGAGAGAGAGAGAGCGGGGCAGGATCCCTGGCAGACAGGCTGCCGGCTGGGAGCTCAGCCATGGGTGGAACTGTATTTTGCACACAGGGCTGCCAAAGAATGGTTGGTGTGAATGATAATTACAGCATCAGAAATGGCCCACATGTGCAGCTGCTTTTTAATGAAGCACTCATTTGGTTGGCACAGCCCTCTGCCTCCTGCCTCACATGCCCTAAGCAACAGGCTTAGTCGCAAACACGTGATGAAGGTGGTTTCCTGCATGCTGCAGAGTGAGCTAAAGGGGGAGCAGCAGCAGCAGGGGGAGACTGAGAGGGTACCTGATAACTATCCATATCGTCTTCCTCCTCTCTCTGGCAGGAGAGAACACACTCAGTCAAATTTGGGGAACCAGAAAAAAAAACCTGACATGACAGCTTGACAGTCACTGCTCATGTGACTTTTTAAGATGTATGTGGAAAAGAAAGTATCAAATTATCACTTTCTTTCTACATCAGGGAACAACAGTGCATGTAAACAGAACAAATAGGGCACTAATGTGTTTTTACATTCCTTGGTTTTCTTTAGACTCACTGCCAGCGACCCAGATGAACCAGTCATATCCACGAAACCAGAGATGGATACTTTGGCTAAATCTGCATAATATTGTACTCACGAAACGAGCATACTTTTCCCAAAACGCAGAATCAATTACATAAATATATCATCCTGCTTTTTTTTTACAGAATCATTTCACAGTCTAAGTTGCATGTGAGTATAGCAAACATGAGTATTTGTGTTTCACAGACCTGGTAGCTGTCCAGTGGTCTCTGAAGTTTGGTGCAGCGAACGGACACACAGCCGATGGACACAGACAGCACAGCCTCCACCAGCAGAGGCAGGGTGCCCGAGTTTTGGACCGGCTTCACACACACCTGCAGCCTCCTGGAGTGACCCTGCGTGGACAAACCTCCATATCTCAACATCAGATTGCTTTACTACACGTACACAACTGTTTATAAGTACATAATTAGTAATGCAGCTCTTAAAGGAATACTTCAACCCCAAAATGACAATTTGTACATCAATTACCCCATTTGACCTTGAATTATACATTCAAAATGGGGAAATGTCAGCAAAACTACTACAAAACATCCGCTTACAAACTGAAATGTAGGTTGTGTAGTGTAAGCCTCAACTGAATGTTCCAGTACTCATCACTACTTCCCAAAAAATATGAAGTGTGTCTATGTAAGCAGGAGACTGTTTATTAGAAAGTTCCTGAAATCATAAAGTTTTGGCAAAAAAAAATGTTTTGTGAGAAACGAGAAGTGATTTTTTGACTGGATCCATGAGACTAGATGCAGATGTTTTGATATCATTTTGCTGTTGTTCAACACAACCGTCCTTTGCCTTGATTAATCATGACTCTTTTTCTGGTTTATGTTCTTTGTTCACAGTGGCAACATGCCAGTAAATAAAGTTTTCTTCAAGAATTCAAGGTAACATGCAGTGAGGAATTTATATATAGAAATGATCAATTTGGGGGGGAAGTATTCTGGGCATCCGGTCTGAACTAAAGGGATGATTGCTCATAGTGTTTATCTGACCTGTCGGAGTTGGAAGACTCCTCCTGTGCTGATATCTTTTCCAGGATTCAGCTCAACAGATGAGTACTCTCCCTGCTCATTCAACTCCTGGATGGATATCACCAGCTCGATCCTACGAGACACCTCACTCCACCTTAAACATGCAACACTCAAGATTAGTATGTGTCAGCTTATGTCAGTGTGTACGAGTATGAGCAAAACACGTGATACATGTACCTGTCTCGTAGCGTCTGGGTCTTGGCTTCCAGTGCATCTAACTCCCACAGCGAAACTCCGTTCCCGGCACAGCGGTGACCCCACACTTCTATGGCCAACGCTCCATCTGATATAAACTCTAAAAACTCATCTGTCACATGCACAACGTAGTCCTGCACAGAGACAAAAGGTCTTTAGTTAACAAGACTTGAACATTAAGCTAAGTAAATCTAAGAATGAACAACTTTACGTTCAAAGAATCAGCCGCTCCTTTTTATTTACCTTGCACTGATCAAACTGGACAGTGAACTGGGCGTCTGGGCTTCGAGGGGAAGGACTGTCTGGGCTGACCATGGGGGGGGCCACAGTGGGCTCGCCGTGCTCCCAGAAGGTGTATTGACAGAAGACAAAGTTGGACAGGTTGAGCGGCAGACCTGTGGCCTCTCTGATCCGCACCTGCAGCAAAGAGACAAGTAGTTGTTGTGCTGTTGTACTCAACAATCCCCAAACATCCATCTTTGCTAGGATCCAGTGACTCTTTTACCCTGCAGGTGAGCCTCTTAGACATATGGACGATCTCCCCGTTGGTGTCCATCACCTCAAAGCAGCTGCTCTCACTGGAGTTCTCTGAAGAGTCGTCTCCCCCAGACAGGCGCTCTGGGACAGCTCCACTCACCCGCATCAGCTCAATGTGCAACCTGCCTGCTACCTGTACACACAGGGCAGGGCACGTTATCTCCCAAAATAAATACAATCTCCCAAAATGTCTTAATTTTAAATATGCAAGCATGTAATCCTTATATATGGAAAATTAATAGTTTCTGTCTGAGTGAAGCTGTATATGATGGTGCACTCTTACCTCTCCTTGCTGGCTGATGATGGGGACTGCATATTGTAGTTTGACATCATGAAAAAGGCACTCTAGAAAAATGTTGGCCACTCCTATCAGGTTGTGGTTCTCTTGTGCCTCATAGAATGGGTCACAGTATTTACTGTTTGCCTTGTTATACTAAAAGAAAACAAAGACAGAAACACCTTGATATTCCAGCTCATGTTTTCTACCTCGAATGTTATGCGCTCTCTGAATGCCATTCTAGTATTTTTTTCCTGTTTCTTACCAGCTCTTCTGTGCCTTCCCTCCAGTCCCCGTAGTGGTCTCTCATATCCACCAGTTTGTTTTCCAGCTTCTCAATGGTCCACACCTGGGTCCCCTTCCCCTTTCTCCTCACCTGAATGGCCGGCTCGCTCACTATAGCTCCACGCTACAAAAAAAACAGATTTTGAATATTCTTATTTTTCAGAAGATATTCGCACTTTGAAATGATAACATCTGTACCATGATATACCACCTCCTTTAGTGAGGTGATGTGGTGTTTGTGTGTGACTGCTCGGGGTTCAGAGGTCTGACCTTGCGGTTGGCGCTGAGGTTGGCCGCAGGAATCTGAAGGGTGACCTGATAGTCCGTCAGTTTGCTCATCTCCTCTGCCAAAAAGTTAGCTTCTCGCACCAAGGTGTTGGCTTTCACGACTTGCACTCTGAGTCGGGACAGACTCTGACGAAAAAGCTCATCCCTGACACACACACACACACACACACACACACACACACACACACACACACACACACACACACACACACACACACACACACACACACACACACACAGACCATTCATGAGGATGAAGATCAACAAACATCATCACTATGCACATCATAGATAGCAAACCATCCTTGTTTACAGGAACAGCTAGTGCAAAACAGGAGTTAAGTAGAAAGCTACTAATGACTGCAATTGGACATAAAAAACATGTGATAAAAGAGTCTCATATCAGATTTAGCTACCAAACCACAGTGGTTACATAGAATGGCAAAATATAAAGGAATGAACAGTAAGTGATGAGTCATGTCAGAGGATATTTGCTAAAGCTATCTAGCTACCACATTGATTATCAGCTCAATGCTACCACATTGTGCAGAAGGGCCTGGTTTGTCTCGGTAAAGAGCACAATCACATGCTGATATGTTGTAAGTGTGTGTAAAGAAGGTTTTGGTATTGTAGTGTTGGTTGATGTCTTGGAACACAATACAGCATTCCTTCAATGTACCTATTTTCGAATAACTTCAGCAGGTGTTATAAATAAGTGTTACATCTCAGGATTTTAACAGGAAGGTGTCGAGAAACTTTATTTGATTCCATATATCACTTCATAGCAGCAAGGCTCACTGAGGCTCAGACTGAGTCAACATTGAACAAAATTCCATCACAGTGACTGATTTCCCAATTTAAAAACTGTATTTGGCTTACTCATGTTAATACAGCTATGTTTAATAATGCTAATGTTTTATACAACTGAAAATATATTTGCACATCTCATCTCGTTAGTCCTGAGGCGGTCCTCCCTGCAGTGTGCAGAGAGGGTGTGTGTGTGTGTGTGTGTGTGTGTGTGTGTGTGTGTGTGTGTGTGTGTGTGTGTGTGTGTGTGTGTGTGTGTGTGTGTGTGTGTGTGTGTGTGTGTGTGTGTGTGTGTGTGTGTGTGTGTGTGTGTGTGTGTGAGTGAGTGCATTCCACTAACCGCTCCTCTGTCCACAGTCGCAGTTTGCCGTGCGGTGTGTGTGTCGGGAACGTGAGGCGCTCGCTGCTGCTGCGGTGGTGTTGTTGATTCTTTTCAGGAGACAGCTGTTGCCGTAGCGACTCCAGCTCTCGTTCGTACATCACTCTCTGCTCTTCAAGCGCCGTCCGCTTCTCCTCCAGGTACTGCTTCTCCAGCACCTGGACCACATTCTGCATGGGGTCTACACAGCAGAAACAACACGTTTCACAATCCAGTACACAAGTCCTGGTTGTTGTTCTGAGGACAAGCTAAACTGCAATCATCACATCTGATAACAAATCAAGTTATTCAATTAGAAGTAATCAATGCATGGTAATCAATTATACAATGGTGCTTTCAAAAACAAAAGGTGTTAATATAGGTTGAGAGTAGCTGCAACAAGCTGAAGGTTCAGAAACCCAGAGGTGGGAAGTAACTAAGTACATTTACTCAAGTACTGTACTTAAGTATAATTATGAGATACTTGTACTTTACCTGAGAATTTTCATAACATGCTTCTTTGTACTTCTACTCCAATACAACTCAGAGGTAAATGGTGTACTTTTAGTCTACATTTATCTGATACCTTGAGTTACTTTACAGATCTGGATTAATGATGTGAAATATAAACAACTCTTAAATCAGACTTTAGTTACACAGGGAGTAAATTCACAAGCTACCCTGCAGTATACAAAGTCATTCAAACTAGCTGCACCTTTACACTTTAATGCATCAATAATTATAATCAAAACATATCATATATATTATTCTGAAATGGACCAATCGGCAGAATGACTATTCTTACTTTTGTTACTTTAAGTATATTCTGATGCTAATATCTTTCTACTTATACTTGAGTAACATTTTGATTGCAGGACAGAGTATTCCTACATTCTGGTAATTCTACTTTTACTCAAGTACAAGATCTGAGTACTTCTCACACCTCTGCAGAAGCCTACATACTACCCATAGCTGTGTCCTGAATGAATAAGAAACAATTATACTATCCTAATCGTACCATTGTTCCCCAGAGTCTTCATTATGACCTCCATCTGGGCAAACTCATAGCTGTAGTCCTGCTCAGAGGATGCCTCGCTGGCCGTCTCCACGTCTGCCTCGATGAAGCTCTCTCTGGGGGAAGCTCTATCCAGCTCCTTTAAACGGTCCCGCTGCTTTCGGTTAGGCAGATTAATCCTACAGAACAACAGGACTTCCAATCAGTGACTTATTCATGTCATTACTCTCCACACATTCGAATGTGGCCCTACTACGACATGTCTCATACCTGAAGAAGTGATTGTTGCCCCATAAGATCCGATCTCCATGCCACAGGTACACCAATGAATCAATCATTGTTCCGTTAACACAGGTCCTGTAGAAAAAAAGAGAAATTAAATACTGATAATAAAAAGGTCAGATTTCATATTATTTTAAATCCAATCCAACTTTATTTATATATCACATTTAAAAACAACAGAGTTGACCAAAGTGCTGTACATCAATAAATATATACAAAAGCAGCATAAATACATTTAGACAAAACCAATAGGACAAAAATAAACTAATGTAAAAGCACGAGACAATAAAACCATACTTATAGCCACAGACTGAAAACCCTCATACACGATGTAAA